GGTTATTTACAGACCGCAGTCATATAGCTGAAATATTGCGGCCTTAAACAACAAACAAATCTCAGCATAAAGAATGTAAATTACTGAAAGCGCTCGTAAAATCTCTTATCCAGACGAAATTCTGGGTGTGGTCGCGAGTATTCACAATGAGTGAGTGAGTTAGACTGTGATGTCAGCTTAATGTCTGAGGAAAGCCCAAAGTGATACAGGAGCCAGGCGATTACCACTTTGTCGAAACCTATGGTGCTGACAAACCTAGAAACATAATTGGGGCAAACCCGATCATAGGTTTCTGGCATGCAGCGGCTCACACAACTTGGCCACTTGTGTCCCCTATGTACAATGAGTGAGTGAGTTGGGTTTTACGCCGCTTTTAACAGTATTCCAGTTATATCACGGCGTGTCAGCTTAATGTGGGAGGAAAGCCCGAAGTGATGCAGGTCTAATGATTGACGTAACGTTCACCTCAACGTCGGTACACTCCAATCCGTCCATCGCTGTGGCTGAGGTGAAAACGAGACTCGTCAGTGAATAGAACTTGTCCCCACTGCATGTCCGTCCAGCGTGGACGCTGTCTGCACCACTGTAGACGTGCTTGACGCGTACGGTGGTTTCCTGTCAAAATGGGACGTCGGGCAGGTCTTCTGGCGACAATCCCTGCGACAACGTAACGGTTTGTGAAGATATTCGTCGAAGGCTAGGGATGCTTCTTGCAGTCACTATTGCTGGCTGGAATCGATTTCGTAGGAGTGTTGTTCGAATCCAGTTGTCTTGTCGATTATTGGTTACGCGTGGCCTGCCACTCCGAGGATGGTCTCTGACTGCATTCAACTGTTGCCAACGTTGCCATAAACATCAAATGGTGTTTCTGTGGACGTTAAATTGTCTTGCAACATCACGTTGACTTGATCCTGCTTCAAGCATACCAATGGCTTGCAGACGCTCATTTTCGGACAGGCGTGGCATTTCGTAATGTTGAATATTTGCATAATTTTGTTGTTTTTCTTAGTGGTTGTTGTCAGCACGATGCTAAACAATGCATATGGAATACAGTTAACGCAAATGTTTTTATACCCATTCTTGGGTAGTGAAATGCATGGGGCTTGCATAAAAGTCAACTTTTGCATGGAATGCATGCTTTTCTGTAGCAGTTGCGTTTTTGTGACTTGATTCCATACATGTACTACAATATTGAAAACCAAACTTTACTTGTTTGAAAATACATTAAAATATTGGTGTCACAGGAACTTTTGTTGTTGAGTATATTCAACATTCAGGAATAGGAATAGGGACAGGTTTGTTTTTTCATCCTCTGCTTTAAAACAAGTGTTGGGTGTAAGCTCCCCGGGGACCGACCATTTGATATTCTTGGATGGGGGCCTGGGATTTTATCCCCCCCCACCCCCCAAAAATTGACCCCAAAAATTCATGAGAAAAATAATTATGCTTTAGACTGTTGAAAAAAGAAGAAGTAAAACTGCAACAAAAATTGTTGCAAGGTGTTTTTCTTAACAAAAAATAATTTCAGGCTCATACTCTTAAATAAAAAAATATCTTATTTTGGTGCTGTAGCTGAAAAAATGTCTAATCTCAATACAAAATCCCAGTCGGTCAGTAACCAGAGGTGAGGTGAGGTGAATTTGGGTTAAACGTCACGTCCAAGATTATTGCACTTATATAGCGATGTGCATGCTCGTGTGTGTGTGGCTGCTTGTACTAGTCCGGCCTGATGCCGATTTATAGTGCTAGCACACTGAGATACCATGCCGCAGTTTAACATGAATACCTCACTCAGACACAGTATACTGACTCCGAGCCGACCTGTCCTTGTTTTAGCCCCTTAATGCCGAGCTCCAGACAGGGTAACAACAAGTACCATCTTTTAACGTCTTTTGGTATGAGGTGGCCGGGGATCGAACCCCGGGCGTTCCGCTCTCCGGGCGGACGCTCTACCTCTAGACCACAGAGGCTGTTGTCAGTAACCAGAAGCACAGGACCAAGGGTGCCAGTGCTGCCTCACAATCACAAGTATAGACAGAAAACCGGAGAAAGGTTTCCTTTGGCACTTGAGGATCAACTATTATCAGAACAAAACAAGTATTTTCACTTGATACACTTTATTTAATGTCCATACAAAACATTTAAAAAATCCTTTGATGTAAGATCATCATGATCATACATAGCCACAAGATTCTAAAAGGTATACTTGGAATTAATTTAATGTCCATACTTAATTCTATAATATACTCATGAGAATACACTGAGTAGAACAAATGCAAAATCTGTTTAATAGATGTAACAAGCATTCCCTCCACACAAAGAAATTTTTCAAAATGACATCTTATTTTACACTCCTGGGCCCCGTTCCACAAAGTGATCTTAGCGCTACGATTGTCGTAAGTCAGTGTTAAAGAATGGGAGTTACGATCGACTTAGCACTAAGATCGCTTTGTGGAACGGGGCCCTGTCTTGTTAATCATAAGGCCTGTGCTGGGTGCCCAGAGGTCATCTTCATGAGGCAAGGGAGTTACCTGACTATAAAAGTCCAGTTTCCACCCTTGCTGAACTAGGCTGCAATTATGGTTTTCATATTTTGGCAGGACTAATGAGTCTATGCATGGTCCAATCAAAATCATGTCACGAAATTGACATCAGCTTCATAAACATGGATTTTAATGTGAAGATTTAGGTCGACTGCAGGATTTATAAAATATGTGTACTGTCAACCGGGCTTCAACAGAAGATGCCCAGAGGTTTGCTGCTCAAGTACTTGAATCGTGGGACCCCCTAACAGTGTGGTAATCTCTTGCATGCTTACTAACACGGATCTGATAAAATGGCAGAGTTCAAAATACCTGCTGCCCGCCATGATCTATTTTGCTGACGGATGCAGAGTTTTGAAAAGTTGCACGCCCCATGGTCTGGAGTTAAAATAAATAAGTTCACAATCCATTAGGTTGTTGCCATTTTCTAGGAACTAACATTAAACAGTACTATTCTTATGTCAACCATTTTGTTACTTTTTTGTTAGTCTATAAAATTCAGGACTGGCAACATTTATTAGTCATGTAACTTTGCAATGTTGCCAGTCTGGTTGTCTGACTGTAATTTGGGGAATTTTATGCACCGATAGTAACAAGCTTCAATTTTCTCCCTGTATATTGTCGTAAGTAGCTTTTGTCTGTCGTCATTTTGCAAAGGGGGTATCTGACAACTTGACATCAAGGTAAAGATACAACACTCTATAAGAGGTAGACGCCTATATAGAAAATACACCTAATACCGTAACCAACAAACACATAACAATCCCACACAAGGTATTGTGATCTTCAAGAACATCAAGACACAATATTCCAAAATAAATCTCTTGAATGTCCACAGGGTTTTATCCAGACCAGCTCAGAGGCTGATGTTTGGCACCAAGTCTGCAGCAAATGCAGCAAAAATTCACAAATTAGAATAAACAAGTATTTGTCACAAAGTGACGAAATGTCCCCCGCCTGTATATACACCATAGTACCAAATATGAAGACAATCCAGCGATTAGTTCTTGAGATATCGCGGCAACACCGTTTTCCAACTCCAAAAGCAGATTTGCCTGCTGTGACCTTGAAAATGGGGTCAAGGTCACCAAAACCGACTGGTGTCTGCGGAGTCTGTATATACACCATAGTTCCAAATATGAAGACACTCCAGTGTTTAGTTCTTGAGATATCGCGGCAACAAACAGGTGGGACGTACGGACGTACAGACGTACGGACGGTCGTGAATACTATACCCCCTGCTTCGCGCTTTCGCGCGGCGGGGGACAAAAAAAAATCACATTTCATACAACTTTAGAAAATCCTGATTTAGAACTACACACAGATTATTTTAAGAATAAACTGCAAGTTGCGAGGAAGTGCCAGGCTCAGATTTTACAAATTTAAAACAGATAATCCACGATTCAGATTTGTGAGTTGGTTATTCTTCATATTCCCCTGAGTAATTTTTCTGAGAAAATGTAGAAAATTGTTCCTGATCTTGACATTAGCTAATCAATTGTTGAAAATACCGCACATAAACCACTGTCATTTGATGTCATAAACAATGGATGACGTCATCCTCGGTTGTTTGCGACGTCACACTGCAGGATGAAGGCATCTTCACAAACAATGAATACAATGTAACAATTTCTACAACATGGCCAATCAGCAGGAAGCAAAAATAATAACACTTGAGAATTACTGAAAATAATTCACCAATATCCATACCCCTATGGGGAATATTTCCAAATTGACATGTCAATGGCAAAACTTAGAATCCTTGATAAATCCGTGAGCCTCGATCCACAAAGAGATCTTAGTGCTCAGGCAATTGTAACTCTCACATTTGGACATAGACTAAGATGCTCTTAGCACTAAGATCGCTTTGTGGAACGGAGCCCTGGTCTAATAGTACTTGATTATTTGGACTGAACCATAACAGCCACAACATACCATCTTGAAATGTAACAATGTCTTATGTACTGTAAAACGTGAAATTAATGCGTCTCCAAAAGAATGCGACCGCTGGCCCCTAGCCAAAAATGCGACTCAATATGGATGCGACAACTCCTCCTCTCAAGTATCAGTGGATTTATATCTTAAGAAAATGTCCTCTGTCAGGTTTACAGGAGAATCCTCACCTTAATCCAACCTTACATTAATCCAATCACACACCAAATAGCACCGCTTATTAGCGCTGAGTAGAGTACTTCAGCTAAAACAATATGTGCATGCTGGCTCGTGTCGGCCTTTGATGCAGTCGCAAAGAGCAAAGACACCGTGTTGGGTGGCGTCTGTCTGGACTTGCAGGTGTGATCAGTGATGACATGAGTGAGTAGAACGCTTGTCTTGACCCAAGCAGTGACAATTCACAGGATGTAATTAGTGTTTGAATGACATTGTTTATATGCTTGTTACAAGTGCTGCTCAATAAACATTGATGTGGAATACATAGTTGTTTGTTTTCAGAGTATGTCTAAGTTGGTATTTCTGCTATCCAAAATGTCTTATTGTTGATATAAATGCGATGTTTAATAATGCGAGCAAAGACCACTCACTTTTTCGCATTTAATTCACGCTCGCGTTAATTTCACGTTTAACAGTATATCTCAAGTCAAGTCTCTGTATCTTCTACCACAAGTACTGTGGTAGAAGATACAGAGATTTGAGAGGCCAATCATGTTCTCATAATATGATCCTCAGCTTTAACCAAAAACATGTTCCTATAACCAATCACACATGTACATTTATACAAGTGAAATGTTTCTAAATCATATAATTTAATGAAAATACAATGTTAACCCTTTGATTTAAACAATATGTGACACAAAATAGATATTCTTTTTGTTTTACAAATAAGCCTGCCCGAAGTGTCAAAAAATGTTGAAGCTTGATCTGGGTCTGATCAGGACAAAGCAATACGACTTTCACTGAACACATCCTGAAATGAGTGACCTGGTTTATATGGGTAACAACGGAGAGGTAGATGACTTAACGAGCAGCATCACTGGTGTACCGGAAGCTCACATCACCCAACACTGCGATGATCATAAAAAAAAAAGGCATTCGGGAAAAAACAGTACTTCACTATTTTACATTTCAAAAATCATAAAATCAATCATAGTGAAGAATTCCTTATTATCACCTAGCTGTAAGATTTTAAAACCATTTATCAAAATATCTACCTACACAGGTAGGTATCTTATTTACTATGACAATAGACATCATCACTTGTTTGCAAGGGCAGAATAATTATCCATCGACACGGCAGCTAATAATTTTCTGCACATACAAATATACATGTAAGGAAAACTGAATTTGGCTTAAAAAATATAAAAAAATGGTTCTCAGGTAATGACTTTCGAAAATTTAGTGCGGGCGTGGGGTGATTTCTATTTTCTTTTTTTTGGGGGGGGAGGGGTGGGGCTTGTTCAATCTAGTATGTAACCAAATAAACAGTCGTGTACCATCAATCTGGGAAAGGGCCTCTCTACGTAAACAAGCGTACAAACTATTGCCGCCATGATCAAAACATGAGATGCACAGTAAAGCAGTGCGCATGTAAAGGGTGATATTTTTGATTGCATTGTTTTTAACCACTAGGAATTTTTCATTTTTTAGAGAATGGAAATAAAAACAAAACGTGCGACAGATTTTATGATGATAGGGACAGTGCCTGAGAACCAAGACTATTATTTATTAAGCAATTGTTATGAGATTTGAGCAGGTGTACAGAGTGAAGGTGTTCATCCCGAGACAGCCTCCTGATTAATGAGCACCGAACAGCAGGTGAGACAACCATCCACCTTGTAGAATTCTGAGAATGGGACATCGATCACTCTCCCCTTCACACGCTTCTTTAGTATCTGAAAAAATGTAAATTATGTTTTTCAACCGAAAACCTTTAAATTAATCTACCAATAGTAAAATATTAAAGGTTGAAGTTATTGAGGGCTGGTGAAAAGCTGAATTAGAACTTTGAACGTGTGCTTCAGTTAAGTTATTTGAAATAATGTTCAAACAAGGGAGACAACTTGCTTGTTACTAACCACTTCTTCAGACAAACCATATGCTTGTTATGGATCTCTTTCTAAAATTTGCATAGAAAAAGGTATGAGCCTCTCCAAATGTTTGCCCAGTTTTTGCAAACACTTCCCAAATGGAGATATAACACACATCAACCATGCAATATGCTCAGATCAGCTGCCATTGTGGCCACCCATTACACGTGTCTGACATCTCAGTGACTTACATCATAGTTGTTGTGGCCACCCAATACACATGTGACGTCTCAGTGACTTACATCATAGTTGTAGGGGCCACCCAATACACGTGTGACGTCTCAGTGACTTACATCATAGTTGAAGAGGCCACCCAATACACGTGTGACGTCTCAGTGACTTACATCATAGTAGTAGGGGCCATCCAATACACGTGTGACGTCTCAGTGACTTACATCATAGTTGTAGGGGCCACCCAATAGACATATGTGACGTCTCAGTGACTTACATCATAGTTGTAGGGGCCACCCAATACACGTGTGTGACGTCTCAGTGACTTACATCATAGTTGTAGGGGCCACCCAATACACGTGTGTGACGTCTCAGTGACTTACATCATAGTTGTAGAGGCCACCCAATACACGTGTGACGTCTCAGTGACTTACATCATAGTTGTAGGGGCCACCCAATACACATATGTGACGTCTCAGTGACTTACATCATAGTTGTAGGGGCCACCCAATACACGTGTGACGTCTCAGTGACTTACATCATAGTTGTAGGGGCCACCCAATAGACATATGTGACGTCTCAGTGACTTACATCATAGTTGTAGGGGCCACCCAATACACGTGTGTGACGTCTCAGTGACTTACATCATAGTTGTAGGGGCCACCCATTACACGTGTGACGTCTCAGTGACTTACATCATAGTTGTAGGGGCCACCCAATACACACGTGTGACGTATCAGTGACTTACATCATAGTTGTTGTGGCCGATCTCATCGCCAGGCTTCACAAACACGTTGCCGTTGACCAGAAGCACATTGGCAGCAGCGTTGTTGTCCAACTGGACGTACTCGTACTTGAACTTGGCCTGGGACTTCATCCTCTGTGGACAAGGGTCAAGGTGAGTGAGCGAGTGAGTGAATTTATGGGTGAGTGAGTGGTTGTGTGTATGAGTGAATGAATGAGTGAGTCGGTGTGTGTCATAGTGAATGTGTGTGTGTCATAGTGAATGTGTGTGTGTGTATGAGTGAATGTGTCATTGTGAATGTGTGTGAATGAGTGAATGTGTGTGTATGAGTGAATGTGTGTGAATGTGTGTATCAGTGCATGTGTGTGTATGAATAAATGTGTGTATGTATGAGTGAGTGAATGTGTGTATGAGTGAGTGCATGTGTGTGTATGTATGAGTGATTATGTGAGTGAGTCATCTCGTATATTGCCACATATTCCTGCTTAAACCACCCCAGTGACTAAATAATTCATTACTGATGCCTAATTATTGTACATGGTGTAACTTAGGATGACCAAATCATAACGGGAGAACATCCAACATACAAGGAATTACCAGTTATCTCTTTTGTTTAGGTTTGAGAAGGTTATCGGAAACTATTAATGGTTTATTTAAGGAGTGTGTGAATATTTTATGTCTGCTTCAGTTACTTCTGCATGCATATTGAAGCTTTGCTTTCATGCAAAAGTTAAATATATGTTTTCAGGAGTAAGCATGGTAAGGTACACACTTTTACATTCCTGACATAACAGTGAATGAGTTTGGTTTAACGCCGCTTTGAACAGTATTCCAGTTATATCACGGTGTGTCAGCTTAATGTGGGAGGAAAGCCCAAAGTCATGCAGGTCTCGGACGTTTCCCACTTCGGTGAAACCCTAGATGCCGTACATGTTGTCGACAAACCTAGAAACATAATTGGGGAGAACTAGGATTCTAAGCCATGATCATAGGTTTTGTTGCAAATTGCAACGCCTTAGATGACTGGGCCATCCGTGTACCCATTGGTTTAGGAATCTGAGAAAATGAGAGATGTGATCTGCTGCATACGTTGAGAGTTTCCATGGCCTCCTGATCCCCTCCAACAGCTATCATGTCCTCTCCACACATGGTTGCCAGGCTCTTTAAATGCAGCGTGTCTCTCACAGGAAATGACGTCACAGAGAATTCTGGGAATGTTTTTGCCAAGCACTGCACACCTTTTTCATTGGTTCTCTTTGACTGACCAACAAATATCTCCCGACCTGAAACATCCACCTTACTAAAATCATCACAGGAAAGCTACATAATCATGACAATCATACCACTGCTCTATGGTCACTGTTGGACAATCACAATCAGTCCTAAAAATTATGAGGACAAATTCCATGTCTAAACTCCTGACAAAAACAACACTCTTTAACACTGGTAATTGTGTTCCTTGTTTGATTTATTAAAGAAGAGTTTGCCCTGATTTGCAAGGTAAAATAAATCAGAAAAACAATTAATATTATTAAGAAATGTTTGACAGAAACAAATTGCTAAATTTGAAAATTTGAAAATGCTAAGATTCTTTTTGAGAGCTGTCTCATTTTTGAGACAAATGTCAGCATTGGTCCTGGAGACGAAAATCAGTGGAGAAGTTCTTACCCTAGCTAGGGTAAGATTTGGTGCTCTGGATCACCAACACCCCCTCTACTATAACTTGGCACATATTACTTCTCGTGTATATATATATCTACCTGTATAAAGCAAACTTGTATATACAAGCCATCGACTCCATGGCTTGTAACTGGTCAAACTTGAAGAAACTGGACGTGACACCACTCCTTTGCCAGGTGCTAACATGACCAGAGTAGACGCCATAAAAAATGTAAATGTTTTTCATCTTCAACAATGTGAGAAGATACTATGAAATAACATCATGAGTAATTTGCACCCTGGCAAGATTGGCTGTGGTTGCCATAGTTACCTGTAAACAAGACATCCCCTCCGTCCATGCAGGCTTCTGGGTCCTCCATCTCGTAGATCTGAGGGGCCTTCTGCAGCGACTTCAGCGCCTCCCTCATCACCCCCACCTATACGCCAATATCAACACAATGACAAGAACGATGATAATTTAATAAGTAGGGGTGATATTGGTCTGGAAATCACTATTGCGATAACTATTGATATCGAAAGAAACTATTGCGATAACTATTGATATTGTAAGCAACTAATGCGATAAATATTGATAGTTTTCAGTGTATCATTTTAGATGGATTTTAGAGATGAATTAAACCTTGGAACTGAAGTTGCCTTTGAATAATTCCTTTGATAACTATAACAACAAAAAAAGGAAAGTTTGAGATATGACTGATTTGTTTTTTCTTTACCCTGATAATTTAAGAAAAAGAAACTTGTAAACTACCACTCATGATCAAAAGAAAAACAAATTTTAACACCATCGCATGCATTTTATTGATATGGTAAATACAATCAAAACTATCAATATTCCTAACTGAAATCGATACTATTGATCGGACACTGATTTAACAATCGATTTATTGACTTTAAGTGCCTACCAAAGGCAATATATCGATATTTCTATTTATCGTGACACCCCTATTAATATGCAATAAAAACAATGATTTGCACCATGAACAAAACAATGAGGAAGAGAATTTGAAGGAGTAAGTGACCAGTATACACTCCGAAACTTTGTGATCCTCATTAAAATGAAGTTGACATCCATAATTTCTCTTCCTTATCTGTTTCTCTTCTGAATGCCTTTCAAACACTTAATAAAACAATGATTAAAACCATGAACAAAATGTGTCCAGACGTGTCACGTCGTGTGTCAAGATTATTTCACTAACATGGAGTGACACGCATGCACGTGAGTTGCTGCTTGTACTAGTCTGGACTAGCATCAGTTTTATAGTGCTAGCCCACTGTGATATCATGCCTCAGTTTAACATGGACACCGCACTCAGACACAGTAGCCTGTTAGTCCGAGAAAAGTGAAAACCTAGAGGGACTAGTCTTTCCCCCCAAATCTAGTTGTTTTGTGTAATTAACTCATCTGAGCTATGGACTAGATGGATATTACCAGTGGTGTCTGCCAATGCATCAGATCTATTTTGTTCAACTCTAATGACAAGCATCACATTATGACCTACAGTGCTCTATTGAGAGCAAATATGACGTACACCTCAATATGTAAAGTTTACTCTGGCCTGAATGAATGTTGTCCAATACCGCTGCCAGCAATGTTCCAGCTTTCCAGGATGTAAATATTCCAGGACGGACATAGTCCAGGATTTGGTAAACCTAGGACTAACTGCATGACCACGATCTGCGCGGGATACGACACACCAGTGTCCAAGTCACAGAGTCTGACAATCATGACCAGTGTTTGAGATAAGTTAAAGACCCAACAAGACAGTTAAAGTAGTCTTAAAATTATCTGCCAGACTTTCGGGCAGGTGGAGGAAAATTTCATGCAGCTCGACAGAAAATTTACCAGGTGGACAGACATGAGGTACTGTGGACTGACTTTGACCAGGAGTCAGCACAAGGGTTGTAGCTTTCACAATGTTGAAATCTAGAATAAGGGAGGTAACTCATGCACACAGTGATTATGACTTGTAGGGGAGGGTCAGAACCGAGGGCAATGTAGTTCACCTGAACGAGTGAGTGAGTGAGTATGGTTTTTAGCCACCTTTAACATTAAATATTCCAGCAACTTCGTGGCGGAGGACACCAGTAATGGGTTTGACACCCTGTCCCCATGTGGGTTATCCAACCAAGGCCTAAGGGGTGAAGAACGAAATCATTAACCACTAGGCCACCTGCGTACCCTGTAGCTCACCTGAACAGTTTGTAAAAGTAATGGAAACTCATCTGGAAATTAATATACCGTATTCGACGTAATAAGCGCCCAGGGCGCTCTCAAAAATAGAAATAGGGGCTCTTATTAGAATATTATTTTAGTGGAAAAAACAGAGTTGAAAGATAAATTTTGTGGTTTATGGTGATGGCCTGAACTGTTTATAAATACGACAGATATATTTTTCCTGAATTTAATTGCCCATAATGAAGGGTGCATATAACACACGCGTGCGTATTATACACGAATATATAAGTCTTGTGTACATTGATCAATCGGAAGGGGTGGTAATTGGGATTGTTCACTTGCCAATATATTAGCAAATATCGCTGTGGGCGCTTATTAGAGCGGGGCGCTTATTACATCGAATATGGTATAGAGTCTAGACAGTTTACAACATCCAAGCATTAGGTACCATATAGAACTCTAAACGCAGTACACAAAGGTTTCAATTTCACAAGCGCCAACAGTTCAGGAGAGCAAAAAGTTAAATATTGCATGATGAACATTAAACGAGTGAGTGAGTTGGTTTTAACGCCGCTTTGAACAGCATTCTAGCTATATCACGGCTTGTCAGCTAAATATGTGGGAGGAAAGCCCGCAGTGATGCAGGTCTTAGATGACTGTGCAAACTGTGCCCCCAACCATTAAAAGAAAAAAATTGTACCCTTACCAAAGTGGAGAATCAAACTCCCCTGTGGTCATTCCGACTGAATTTCCGAGGTAGAATAGGTCCCTAGCAGGCCATGTTGGGGCAAGGTGAGGTGAGGTTAAATGGGGTTTAGCGTCGCGTCCAAGATTATTGCACTTATATAGCGATGTGCATACACATGTATGTGTGTGTTTGTGTGGCTGCTTGTACTAGTCCGGACTGATGCCGATTTATAGTGCTAGCTCACTGAGATACCATGCCGCAGTTTAACATGAATACCCCACTCAGACACAGTATACTGACTCCGAGCCGACCAGTCCTTGTTTTAGCCCCTTAATGACGAGCGCCAGACAGGGTAACAACAAGTACCATCTTTTAATGTCTTTTGGTATGACGTGGCCGGGGATCGAACCCCGAACCTTCCGCGGACGCTCTACCACTAGACCCCGGAGGCGGTCTTGTTGGGGCAAGAGATGACCCAAATGAGGATTAGGTGGTTAACAATACAACTTGTTGATTGGGTGGACCATGGGTTGTGCTAGCAGCCACTGGTTTGCCTGGTCCAGACAGGTGCCGAGGTATGCCTGGAATACTGTGGAATACTGTGGAATACTATGGAATACTATGGCATAACTAAACATTGTTCGAACACAAGCATCAGTTGTTTCCCTTGCAAGATGAGTAATGAGTGAGTGAGTTGGGTTTAACGCCACTTTTAACATTATTCCGGTTACATCACAGCGTGTCAGCTTAATGTGGAAAGAAAGCCCGAATCGATGCAGGTCTCTGACGTTTACCACTTCGGTGAAACCCACGAGCATGGGTATGGTGTTGACAAACCTAGAAACATAATCGGGGTGAACCGGGATTCGAACCCACAATCATAGGTTTCTGGCGTGCCCAAGGGACGCAACTCTCTCAGCAAATTGTGGCGCCTTAGACGACTGGGCCACCCGTGCCCCCAGTTGAGTAATGATAACCCTACAGCTGTGTACAATGAGATATTTGTGTATAAAGCTTATACGTGCTACATAGCTAATATGTACATGTGTGTATGACCATGGCTAATGGGATTACTGAAGGCGCATAAACTTCTGAGAAGAGCCCCCAATTACATACAAATGTAATTGTTTAATTTTCCATTTGACAAGAGGTAGGTCACATGACAGCAAAATTGACGTTCATAAGTATATGAACGACACAATTTGACATTCATATGTTCTTGAACACTGTCGGACTACTTTCACATTCCTGGGAAAACCCCTGGGAGATTCCCCAGCATGAATACATACAGAAGTGTTGTTTCTGATCATCCGACCCTTTAAGCTTAAACTCAGCATTTTAATATACATTCAGAAACGTGAGAGGGTTTGACAGTACGATCTTTCACGAATATCCTCGCTATGACCCATCCCAGTGAACAAAACGAAGAAATACACATCTAAAACTATCGTAGTCTCGACTCGATCCGTGTCCAGGCTGACAGTGACAGTCAACAGCAATCTATGAATTTACCTCAGTATCTATTGGCAGGGTATGAAACTCCCAAACATTTCAGCCAGACCACAGGACTGGCTAGCTGAAATACTTGCCCGCCCTGACCAAAACCCGCCTGCCCACTATAATCATATGTTTCTCAGGATAAGCTAACGGGGTTTCTTTTTGGTTACATTTTATCATTCATCTTTACATGTGAATTAATGCTTATCATCGGGAAATATTTAGAATATTGTCACATATGAAATATAACCTGGCAATCTGGCAGCCGGAGCTGAAATCAACCCGTCTCGGACGGTCGGGCAGGCAGGTATTTCGAACACTGCTATTGGACACATTTTTAATCATGGTATTGAGATCAGTAGAAGTCCACTTTCACAATGCACAAAACCAATTTCAGTTTGGACTGCATGTTAACTCTATCGCATTTGAAATACGTAGTTCGATTTTGGTTAGGGTACTTTTGTGTAGTACCTGTGCCCAAAATGCCCCAACAGCATCGACTGTACGATGCAACATCTGTAATGGCTAGACTTTCCGACTGATGTGTATGACAACAAGAGACACGAATACTAAGTGCCCCCACTGTTTGGAATAATGCAATCAGGACCATTACTCCTTGATTGGGGGACTCTTCAGCATGCAAATATTTGCAGAACATGGATCAATAATAGGGATAGTGTAAAGTATGGAATGGATTTGGGAATGGAGTTTGGATTGGAGTACTGGAATGTAATTTGGAATGAGAAAAAATGGAATATACTCATCTCCAAATGAAACAAACCTTGTAGAATACAGACCCTTATTGATACAAAAACTTGATCTGAATTGACAGTTTGTAAACAGCTCCCCCATTGCCCTAGAGACTTGTGCAAGTGTACTCTGTCTTTAGTATTTGTTATAATGGATAAACATTATAGATAGCTTTTGGAGGGATGATAACAGACATAAATATCACAATATACCAGAATATTTATATCCTTCTTCACATGGTGTTCTATTGTGCTTCATTAGATTACCATAAGTCATTAGATTACTGTGCTGAATAAACCGTTTCCTCATCTAGGTATGTCTCCTCTCCCTCAGCACTGGTGTCGGCAATGGCTGAGGAAAGAAGCTGACGCCCACGTCTCTTAGCTTATCTGCCATATATCAGTGACAGCTGTGGATAAACTGTCTTAGCTTAATAGATTGGGGACTTGTTTGTAAATAGGGTATGTTGCATGTGTCTCCTTCCAAATTCCATTCAAAAATCCATTCCATACTTTACACTATGCCTTGATAATACCATCCATAAATGCTGCTAACAGTTCTCACTAGCGGATCTAGAGGATGCGCACCCTCCCCTCCCCTCCCCTTCTTAAAAACACAACAGTGTCCTAGGCCTCCGTGACTTTCATATTTTGTACACAGACCGATTTTCAAGTTCCTGGATCCCCCCTGGTTCTATACTTGGACCCAGTGGTACTGGGGCATTTGTGATTTCCGGTAGTTCAAGCATGACACGCATCCTTGCAGACGATTACTAATGTGGTAGTGGTAGTGAGCATTATGTCCCGTTTTTGTCCTATTCGGACCTCCATGTACAACTTTATCCTGTACCGCGGTACGCTTGAGTTCTCTTCCTTGTCAGGCTGAGCGGCAGAAGGCCTGGCTTACACTCAGCATGACTAATGTAAAAAAAGTACTTTTACTGGTAAAATATGCATTTATATAGTTAGATAAAATTACTGACATCTGATATAGAGAACACAAATACCGTATTCGACGTAATAAGCGCCCTGGGCGCTCTCAAAATTAGAAATAGGGGGCTCTTATTAGAATATTATTTTGGTAAAAAAAACAGAGTTGAAAGTTACATTTTGTGGTTTATGCTGACAGCCTGAAATGTTTATGTACGACAGATATATTTTTACAGAATTTAATTCCCCATAATTAACGGTGCATATAACACACGAGTGTGTATTATATACGAATAAATAAGTCTTGTGTACATTGATCAATCGGAAGGGTGCTAATTGGGATTGTTCACTCGCCAATATATTAGCAAATATCGTCGTGGGCGCTTATTAGTGCGGGGCGCTTATTACGTCGAATACGGTAATCAAAAAGGTTAGTGAGCAGCTGGTGAGAGCGTTTTGTTCTGTTAAGCGTACATAACAAATACTGCGATACACCGAGGTAACAGAACTTGTGGTTCAGCTGTAGACTTACATCTAGTCTCTGAAATGAACATATTTTACAGAAAAAAACAGTTGTCATAATAAAAAAGAGCCCAGCGACTTTAATTTCTTCATCTTTAGATACTGCAGTAATCTAGACTTGTCAAACCTTATAGACTTGCATGGGCTGTATTGAATATACTTGTTTGAATATATATAGTTCAGCTGCTCACTCCGTTGCATAGTATACTATCTTTGATGCTTGTTATTGTAAAACAATGCTTAATGACATTATTAACATGATTAATGTGACTGCAAATTATTAAACTATTTTAATAGCATATATTATGACAGTGCACACATCATCAACTGATATTAACTGTGATAATAATTCGATCTGTGGTCAGTAATTTAAATTAACACTGAGGAGACCAGGCTATGTAGACTTGCCACAAGATGACATGGCAGTTTGCCAATATACTCAGATCTAAATTCACGTGTCATCTGATACATAATGTGGTCATTATCACAAATGACATGTTCACACAATCTCACTGTTTCATACCCACCTCCTCTCGGCGTGACGGGTGGCCTGGGCGCGTGACAAGCGCACGTGCACCGATAACAACTGCTACATCTTCAACGAAAGGGCAGTCAGGGAGCCGCTCATCTGTGGGCAGAGTCACAACCCTGACACCACAGCGTTCCAAGGTCTCAATGTAATTTGTCAATTGCTTCTTCGCTTTTTCCAGCACAACTGCCTGAGAACCATCTAGCCTCAATGCCTCCACAAAAACGTTAGGAACATTGCGAACAATAGCTGTTGTACACCGTAGAGCCATGACACCGGAATACACAACTCCTTGCATCGAACAAAGGCGGTGTCACGAGTTTGCGTTGTGATGCTTGCTCTGTTGCGAGCCTTCTCGTTTAACCTTGTTTTATCAGCATCTAGCACAGGGGCCCTTGGCAATAAATCTCATGTAATATTCAGGGACAGGGTATTCGCGCATGATTTATTGATACTTCACTGATTTTCTCTCCTGAATATTTCCATTGCAACTTTTAGGCGTTCCATTTGAACAAGATATTCGTATTTAATCGTATTTTTAGGGATGCATGTACATACTGCACCTAAAGGATCGTGAACTTGGATAATCCCAAAAGGACACAGATTTTATCGTTTTAATGTAATAAAATGTTTTGAAATAAATGAATGTTAATGTTTCTTTTAAGAAAATAACATGAATAAAAAACATTTTATGCTTCAAATAACCTTCAATATAATATACCCAACTACATGTAGGGCATATAAGTCAGACTGATCTAGATAAAGGGTATTGTTCAGACCAGTGGTGGTGTTAGGTTGACCTGATTCAAGCTTGTAAGGATTGCAGAGTCACTCCACCCTGCACCTCTCTAAATAAATAAATAACAGCCAAACAAGTGTGTTGGCCACCAGGCCTTGGCCGATTTATCGTCCTTGCAAGTTGCATTGAAGTTAATGATTGAAACACCAATTCATTTGTATGTTGATAATAATTTTATTATGCATAACATTCTATGAATACACGATGTCATTTACAAAGTTATATTTGGGATAAAACTTTCTTAGTAAAGTACACATTCTAGACTCCCATCAGGGATTCGAACCCACACTCTCAGAGTGAGGCACCATTGTCTCGGATTGTTAGTGATCGCCTAAAGAAGATATATAGAAAATGTCCCTGTTTAATACAGAGCACTAATTACAACGTCTAGATCGAAATTGAAATGTTATGCAGACCTTGGACCACTTTGATATAAGCTGATTCATTTAATCATTTAAATTGTTATCTAGATTTAATTTTCACGATGTCGAAAACCTTTCAAACTGTATACGGATCATGTAGCCTGTGCAGGTTCGATGCATTCACGAAAATATATTGATATCATAACTAAACAATTAATTGTCACATTCAAAGTTCAAACCAACATTAAGTAATCAGGATATAAACATACTGAGTTTTCAATGTAGAGCTACCTAGGTTACAAATAGATTTAACCGCGCTATCTTTAATTTGGCACATAACGCGCAGGTTGAAAATGTACATAACTGCGCGTAAATTAAGCGGGCAACCTAGTGCTTTAGTGAAGAGAAACTAAATGGTTTTTGTTGGGTGTCGCCTTCAAACTAAGCATGACGCTGTATATGGTCAAACGTGTCTTTTTTACATAATTATTTACATAGTTTACCAGATATGAGAGGCATTGAAAGTGTGGTATATCTACGTCTTATACCCGCGGACCCCTGAAGATCAAGGGTACAGTAGGTCTTCAGCAACCCATGCTTGTCGTAAAAAGTGACTATGCTTGTCGTAAGAGGCTACTAACGGGATCGGGTGGTCAGGCTCGGTGACTTGGTTGATGCATGTCATCGCATCCCAATTGCGTGGATCGATGCTCATGATGTCAATCATTGGACTGTCTGGTTCAGACTCGATTATTTACAGACCATCGTCATATGGAATATTGCTGAGTGCGGTTAAACAACAAACAAACAAATCGGAAAACCACCATCATCTTACATTTTCTAAATAAAACCAGAATGGCATGGAGAACTTGCTAACAACACGTATTTACGGAATATCTGTATCTCGTAGAATATCATAAAATCCCTTGACAAGGCTCGGTATTTAAAAAAATGTTTCACTGGTGACAGATAATCAGTAATTCCTCTTATTTCGTAGGTTATTCTCTAAATATACTCTTTATTCCATTTCTATCGGATTTTTTTCTGCCAAACGGTATTACCACACTACGTAACTGTAAATATTGCGGGAACCGAAAATCTACATTTTGTTACTCCAAACCATAAACATGATGATCATTTTCAAAATGCTTGCCGACAAATATATGTTTCCGCTGTAATACATCTGTTTCAGTCAGAGGTTGTTTTTTTCATCTGAAATCTCTGACTGACCAATCAGAATCAAGTATTTTCTAAACAAATGGTAAATATTTTGAACCATACATTTTTATTAATCGTTTGTTTTGCCAAATTAATTTTTTCATATCTGTTTAAACTTTAAGATTCTCAAATGGTTCATTCTTTTCATAGTCCACTGATTCTTTTTCATTTAAAGAAAAATGAGGTAACCTGAATGAAGGAAATGGCTAATTACTGTTTTGAGTAATGAAACGCATTTTCTCTGTGGTATGACCTGACAGCGAAATATGAGAGTTGCCTCCCCTAGCGTCGTGACAACGAAGAAAACAATATGGCAGCCCCCTTGGATTATTTTGAATGCGGGGGCTAAACATTTGTCGAGATGATTTAACATTAAAACAATTACTTTGTTTTTGGTAAGTATTCTTACATTAATGCATATACTTTATATTAAAAGTATTGACATGTTCATAAATGTGTGGATTGCATGCAAAGAGTCCGAAAGATTGCTGTCAATCTCTCCTTGACTCTTCTCACTGGCCTCAGGCATCAGTAAGATCAGATTCCAAGGGTTCATTTTCTGCTTGGCAAAAATGCCCTTTGCTACTACACTCGTCCAGGCACTCTCATCATAGCTGAGAACACGATATTGACTTAGTGAGCTATGTCCATGATAATATGATATGTCGATGAGATCAAATGCTATGAATATATTACAGCATTTATGTGAGGAGATGATTAAACGTTCCATGAATAACTCCACTTTATGTGACTCAGTAGACTATATGTATAATGAAGTATATTTAGCACCATTTAACCCGTGTCTTGTGTGTAAATGAAGTTTGCAATGTTATTTGCCAGTCCCTATACCTGTGAGAGTTGTGCAGGGGTAAGGAGGATTTAACCCTGCATTTTAATATTGATACCAAGAGAACTTACTCTTGATATCAATCCTTGGTATCCAACATTAATAAGTACACATGCATTTTACCAGACACCTGTCTGCCATTTTTGTTTGATGCTACTAATATAGTCTCATGCAACAGTGTTACTTATTGGGAATATGGTCAATTATAGAATCTATTTTCCTTCCAGTTGTATCACAAACACGGGCCTATAAAAACTAGGTATACGACAAAAAATGTTAAGTATTGGGAAATACATATCTATGCATGCCTCTTCGACCCTCAGGGTAAGTTGTGTTTGGGCGGTTACCCCTAAATCTATATCCTTAGCCCTTGGATCTTTGAAAGAAAATAGCGCCATATATACTCTACAGTGACTGCATATGGTTTAATATGATTAAACCTTGAAAATAAATATCAAATGAAAGTGGACATCAACATTGAAAAATTAGTGGAGAAAAAAGGTCACATTTCATCACATGTTATATTTTTCATTAACTTTGGTAACTACAATTACATTAAATTATGAATACCTTCATTTCAATTTCCGTTATTTTAGTAAGGCACTGACAGTTGCATCTAAAAACTTAAAAAACATTATCAAGGTGGTGAGGTGAAATCCCTTACTACTCAAGTCTGAAACAATGCTACATAAGTGTGTACCAATATCATCAAGTCTTCAGTGCAAGCTAAGACATTTATCATGCATGATTGTCGTGAACCTAAAACCTGATTTTTGTTACGAAGTAAACCTTCCATTTTCAGTTCATCTGATGAACTTTGAAGTTAAAATTATAAAAAGTAAAAGAAACAAAACTCCAAAAACTCCCAACAAAATGTATGCAAACATGAAACCAGAGACCGTGAAGGTGCCCTCCCACTTTCCATGTGCGGCTCGAGTCAAGATGCCTCAGCTCGGATCGGAGGACTCAGAGATCAAAATAAGGAGACAAGCCCCAAGATCGACCCTGATGCTGTACCAATCTACGGACATGTCGAAAATGCCTGTACAGGATTCCTACTTGAAACGAATCAGCTCTGGGCTTGTCTTTGAGGAAGATGTTGTGAAGGATCGGTGTTTCCATACACTGCCCTATGATTCCAAGTACTTCTGGGAAGTGCTGTCTTTAGATGGCCTTGTTCCTTTGCCACCAAAAGCAAGGATTCCAGTAGGTCGACACAACACACGAGGGCCGGATGTGAGGCATATTCCGTGTGGATTTACAAAAATCACCAAAGGTCACCAGCTGAAGCCGCTGAAGAGGAAGATCATGGAGAAGGCGATGCAGATGCATCAGGATGCGCTGATGGCAGGGATGATGGAGGAAACTAAACCCCAGGGGGATGAGATGGAGAAGCTAGAAGATGAAGATGTTTCACCTGAAGGTGCAGTGTTTATGACCGAGGTCTCACAAGAGCAGCCAAAAGCCAAACCTCAGCTGAAAGAACCTTCTGAGAGAGCTGCAAAGAAGGTGACGTATCGCCCACAAAAGGATGAAGATCCCATATCAGCTTCTGTCAGTCCGAGTAAGTTAACACAGAGTTCAACTGAAGCACAACTACCATCATTCGCAACCAGAAACGACTGGGATGCCTATCTGTTGTCCATTTTGAGTCCTCTGACAGCGAATTGGGTGGTCCATGAGAGGATGTCCCCTTCAGATGAGCAGGAAAATCTGAGTAAAGTGTTATCGGATTGGTATGGTCAGCCTGACCACACAGACCTGGTGAGGGACGATGTGAGCATCACAGACATGGAATTGACACCCAAGAAAGACAAGAAGACAAAGAAGGTCAAGAAGGAGAAGCAGCTGACGTAAGTTGGAGTTAGTGAGTGAGTGAGTGAGTTGGGTTTCATGCTGCTTTGATAGCATGATGGTTTATGGAGGATGAAAAGCATAGGTCAAAGATGTTGACATAGGTCTTAGTCCTTTACCATTTTGGGAAAACTGCTATGCATTTTGAATCCCCACAACCAATCCAGTGTTAACATATAAGGGGATGGAGGGGGTGGTATAATGATATAATAGGACCTAAATCATGCCCTCAATTTGGAACGCAGCATGGATCCTGTCCTTACCAGGGGATGTAACTCTGCACAGTGTATCATTGGTGTATTGTAATTGAAAGTACATTTTGGACAATTTTTAGCAAGAATGTAGAAAAACAACCTTGAAGTTGTTGTGATATGTATTGATCACACTTTATATTAAATTAATATTGTATTCATTTTGCAAGCCAACTGACCCTTTTTTTCAAATTGCAGATTTAGGAAAAAGATCCTTTTCAAGAAAAGTTTTAACAATAAAGTCCAAAAGACTGCCTGTTATAGTTAACATGCCTTGCAGCACCAGTTAAAAAGGAATAAATTTTTTAAATACTTCTTTTCAATATTCTTATAAGTTGGACTAGGAATATTTCTAGTCCAAGTAGAAAGAGGTTGAAATTATGTACATAAATAGCGGAAAACTCCATTACTAAGGACATTTTCCTGTAGGTTCTTTGAAAAGATTAAAGCTGAGGTCCCCAAGCGTGCAGTTGATCCTTATTCTGATGACAACCAAGCGCCATTCTACCGGCAACCTGCAGGTCTGCGACGCCAGCGGAAGACAGAGGAGAAGGAAGAAGCAGGTATGTAATTAAATGGTTCCTATAGCAACATCAATATTGGCTAAGTAAGGATAAGAATTTATGGCGGAACAACTTCTTTATTACAATTAAGAGCGACGTTTCGGTGTAGGTTCTAACACTGTTATCAAGCAAGTGCTTGATAACGGTGTTAGAACCTACACCGAAACATGCTTAAATAGGTGTTAGAAACTACACCGAAACGTCGCTTAAGTTGTTCATCCATAAATTCTTATCATTACTTAGTACTCCAACTTCTAAATGCCTATCAAAGGGATACATATTGGCATCACACTATAATAAATTGTACATATTATAATTTTTAGATCTGATTATGCAGCCTCTCATTCCATTTCAATATTTAAATGTCCATGATACTACAGACAGAAATTCAATACTATGATGAACTTTCATTTATGGAACTTCAAAAATTTTGCAGTGGCAGCTTTGGGTAAGGATTTGTATTACATCTATGTTGACTAATCAATACTTCATCTGAAACAGAGAGCATTAGACTTGATCTGCTTATTGATGTAATGTTTTCTATGTGTAATATTATTTTAAAGAATAGTTTCAAACAGAGTTAACCAGGAATCTTCTAACCAACTGTAACTAGTTTTCAGCAATACTTTCTTGTAGCCCAATGGTGATTCCATGTACAAATTGGTCCCCGGCAACATTTGCTTGTTGTACAAAGTGACTTAATGGATTGTATGGTCAGGCTTGGTGATTGCGTGTCATCGTACCAGGATGTTGGATGTTGCTCATAATATCAATCATTTGTCTGGTCCGGACTTGATTATTTACAGGCCTCCGCCATATAGCTGGAATATTGCAGAGTGTGGTGCTAAACAACAAACAAAACTTTCATTTAATGATGAAAGTAACTTTCTCTCCAATTCACTTTATTTTTTTCGTTTGATAGAAGTATCAACAGTTATTCCATTTGAATTTCTAGTACTAGCTTCTATAGAACAACTTTTGTATTCTTAGTCACTAGAGCATCTTATGAAATTTCTTGTTTTGTGTTTTTGTTGTACTGGGCTCCGTTCCACAAAGCGATCGTAGCGCTAAGATGATCGCAACATACTTTAACATAGACTTACAGCAATCTTAGCGCTAAGATCGCTTTGTGGAACGGGGCCCTGGAGTCCCATAGCCTAAATTCATGTTTAGTTCAGCTGTAGTATCTTGTCCTGTTTGTTAGTATCAGTAGTTGAAGTAGTTCCAGGTATACCGGGTAGTATTGACACACCTACAGTTTGTTTTATGCGTTCATATCTCAAGAACTTGCTCAATACACAACATTATCCCAAATAACTGTTTGCCCGCCTGCCTGTGGCTGGTAACTTTTCTGTCGGGATGCGTGAAATATTTTTTACACTTGCCCGACTGTTTGGCAGATAATTTTAAGATTACTTAAGTATTCAGTTTTGTTATAACTCCTTGCAGATTCTGACCACCTCCGTGGCCTAGTGGTAGAGCGTCCGCCCGGAGAGGGGAAGGTCCGGGGTTCGATCCCCGGCAGCGTCATACCAAAAGACGTTAAAAGATGGTACTTGTTGTTACCCTGTCTTGCGCTTGGCATTAAGGGGCTAAAGAAAGGACTGGTCGGCTCGGAGTCAGTATACTGTGTCTGAGTGGGGTATTCATGTTAAACTGCAGCATGGTATCTCAGTGAGCTAGCACTATAAATCGGCATCAGTCCGGACAAGTACAAGCAGCTATACAAACACACACACACGTACATGCACGTCGCAATATAAGTGCAATAATCTTGGACGTGACGTTAAACCCCATTTCACCTCACCTCACCTCACCTTGCAGATTCTCTGGTAATTGTTTGCATTATTTCAAATGAACGATTTGTCGCTTATTTTTGCGATTTTTTTAATGTCAATAATGCCTGAATGTGGGCAGTCAACACTCATGGGTCATCTGCCCTACTGCATCTTCCCGAGGCAAGAGAGTTAACTGACTTAAAAAGTCCAGTTTCCACCCTTGCCAAACTAGGCTGGAATTACTGGGCTCGACCATAGCGCCACCAGTGGCTATTACCAGTTATGTCCCTCCTAAGCCTCTCCTATGGACCAATCAAATTCCACCTCTCGTATCACTTGCATTTGCTTCACACAAAATGGTGGCGCCCAGTCAGGACGATCTGATCGATAATCAAGATCTATATTGTGATAAAACGGGTCTGACATCGCGATACGCATCAAATCACGTGAGCACCTTGATTAAAAACATGAAAAGATTTGGAAAATATCTGCTGACAACGATTTGGCAGTGCACATGCTTTGCAAATCCTGCAATAGATCGAAATCTGCATGACAGTTTATGAACCGTATTTCGATTTCGGTGCGCGATTTTGATTGGACTATGCATAGACTCGTTAGTCCAGCCAAAATGTAACTCCATAATACCAGCCTAGTTCGGCAAGGGTGGAAACTGGACTTTTATAGTCAGTTAACTCTCTTGTCTCCGGAACATGGCCCTACTGTCGTTTGGGGTTATAGAATTACTTAAAACACTGATACACAAGAACTAAGTGATTCTGGCAATGTTGTGTAAAACAGGTCCCGACTGCCAGCATTCAATGCTACTCTCGAAGGAGGGACCGCCTCCATGGTCTAGCAGATAGAACACCTGCCAAAAGATATTAAAGATGGTATTTGTTGTTACCCAGCCTGGTGCTTGACATTAAGGGATAAAACTGGGAGTCAGCATATTGTGTCTTAGTGGGATATCCATTTTAAACTGTGGCATGGTATCTCAGTGGGCTGACAGTATCAAACTGAAATAAGTCGCTGTTTAAGTTCAATAATGTTGAACATGATGTCAAACCCCGACTCATCTCACCTAAACTTAGGACTGGGTGGTGACAAAACACGACCGACTTCATTGTGTGTCATTGTATTTGGATTGTAGCTTGATAATTTATAGGACACCATATTATAGCTATAATAATGCTGACTGAAGTAAACTGACATTTTCTAATTTACTGGAATTTGGGCTGCGCTTATTTAGTGGCAAGTCGTTTAGTAGCCTTTAAACATTTATGACACAAGTCCCACAATCTGGCAAAGTAACTGAAATATCTTAAAACAAAGGGTGGTAGCATTATCAGAGGTAGAAATTGACTCTAGCCTGCTCGCCCAAGACAGTCCTTATGTCAAATGTATCCAAGACTCAAGAGAATATATTAAAAATTGAATCCTACTCAAGTCAAGAATGATTCAGCAAGTCTAGATTGCTTCAGCGCTCAAATTAAGCATTCGTCTGGGCTCCATTTGGATTTTATTTTATAGATATATATTTTTGAATAAGATTACCTTATTTCTGAGACTAAATGTTAGTCTAAGGTGTGTACTTATATTTAATCACAGTTCTGGGTAGCAATAATTTTGGGTTAATTTCTACCATTAATAATGATGCTGTATGTAACTAAATAGGTGCATCATTCAAATACTGATTGAACAAAAGAATCCATGCAAAGAATACCAAAAGTTGGTCTTATATAATCTCTGTGTAACCATGGCAACGTACAGTAGTTTGGATGTGGTGGTTGCAGGCGCAATCAACAGCACGGCACATGGGATCGCAGTCAAGTCGTACCAGCCGTCACCGCCGCCAACCCTCCGAGACTTCATCAATCCTGCAGTCGGAGACAAGATGTTTGACACGGACAACATGTACCAGCAGGAATGGCTTACAGGTGAGTCGGCTTAGTGAGCGAGTGAGTGTGTTGGTTTTATCACCGCTTTGAACATTATTTCAGTTTGATCAAAGCATGTGAACTTGATGTTGGAGGAAAGCCTGACAATATTAAGGTTTAGATATTGACTACTTTGGTGTTTGGTGCTGGCAAACCAAGAAACATCATCAGGGAGCATCTGGGATTTGAACCAAGGATCCAAGGTTTATGGGCTGCCAAAGGGACACAACTCTGCACAGTGACTTAGACATCTGGGACATCAGTGAGTGAGTGAGTGAGTTGGTTTTAACACCGCTTTTAACAGTATATCAGTTATATCACGGCGTGTCAGTTTAATGTGGGAGGAAAGCCCGAAGTGATGCAGGTCTGAGATGTTTACCACTTCGGTGAAACCCACGAGCACGGGTATGGTGCTTGCAAACCAAGAAACATCATCAGGGAGCATCTGGGATTTGAACCAAGGATCCAAGGTTTATGGGCTGCCTAAGGGACACAACTCTGCACAGTGACTTAGACGTCTGGGAGATCTGTGCTCCTCCAGACTCTAGACTGTGCAAAGTGTTCTCTTCTTGTCTTCTAATCTAAAACTATAAAGATGAAATAAGGCCCGTCATATCATAAGTATTTTCAGGTTAAAGATGCAAATTCGGATAATAATTTCCTTTCTATGACTCATGGATTTATTTGGATATTGTAATTCAGAAATATGTTGTTTACGTACAAAGACGTTTTTGTCTACCGCAAAGTATGTTTATTTAAGAAAAAAATGATGATAGGGAGTTGTTTATCGTACAATAAAACACTGCAGGGAGAATAAACCATGAGGGGCTGCAGTTTGTTCTCCCTGCAGTGTTTTATGATCTTGCACCTTAAAGGGGCACTGATCTAACGCAATTCCCCGGGACTGGTTGTTGCCTTTGTTATTGTTTTTTCCCAGTGAATACCCGGATGTATAGCAGAAATCTAGACTAGTTCGCGACCTCTGCTGCGCCATTCGTAAGCGCATTAGTCACATTTATGGGTAGTAATAAGGGCGTATGGTCACATTGATCAACAAAATGAAATACAGTTTTCGAGATAATAAGGAAATGTAGGTATCTTTGTGAGTAGCTTGGTACTTGGTCACTTGCTTGGTAATTTTGCGATTTTCGTTTACACTATTTTGACTTGCAACACAAAGTATATATTTCACCTGAGCATATGCTTTTTTTATAGTGTGTATATTTTTTTACTGTCAAATGTGTAACAAATTTATTAAACGTCTAAATATTCAGTTATTTTACAAAGTGACTGAAAAACATTTCCATCTGTATTATTATGACAACGAATTCCAAACATTTTGATGTTTAATGTCATCACCAAGAGACTGAAAATGTAACGTTGAAAAGTACATTTCTAAGTTGTTTGGCTTTTAATCCTACATAATAATCTGTTGTGATGTTTGTAGGCCCTTTTGATCGTCTTGATCAATCTGGACAGATTTTTTAGTCAAAATGACTGAAATATTTACACATTTTATAAATTGCCTGAGAGAATCACATTTTACAAATTGACGGTAATATATACACGCTTACAAAGGAAAAGACCTGTGACAACAACCTCTATCGCGCATTGAAGAATTTCCCAACCAAGACGTAGAGAAACAAGAACGAATCGGTTCAAATGAAGGAAAACAAAATGCAGATATCATAATTACAACCTACCAAATTTATGTGTTTAAGTTTTAGGCAGCTTCCTTGTTCGAGGAATGTATCCGTGAATATCCACACAAAGGAACAATATCCCACTCGTCTGCAGCTGTACAAAGAAACTTATTCGATGTCACGTGTCTCAGTAACAATCAAATATTTTAAAAGATATATATCGTTTCGGGATATTATAACCCGTGTTCGTTTCTCAACTGATTGCTTGGATTGTTTCAGGTGTTTTACACAGGTCTCAAGTCTCAATGGTCGGCTGAGAAAGCCCACGTGACAACTATTTTCATAGCGTCCACGGTTCCTAAAAATTCCATTGAGTGATAGATAACAATGATCAATCAATCAACGTATTATCAGTTACCCTTTGAACAAAGTATGTTGTTTTTACATCGGCACTTCGCGCCATGATATGAGTGTATTCCCTTTGTTTTAGTAAACCTAGACATGTAAACACTCACTCTTGACATATCCACTGTGCAAGATAACAGTGATTAATCAATCAACGTATTTTCTGTTAATCCTTTGATGACTAGGAACGATCCGTTGATTTACAAAAAAAAGTAAATCAACTGATCATTCATCTCTTGCTGGGCTGCCACATGCATATTACATAACAAACATTTCACCTCACTTCAAACCTGGATTTAGATTGAATAATTACCCCAGACACAATAAATGCCAAATGGGAACCTTTGTCAGGTAATCTAAGTGGTGCTACCACTAATTGTACCTGTAATAAATTCATTAACTGAGCATCAAGTGAATGACGACAAATACACAAGTGTAGGGTTATACGAGAAAACGTGGATGACAACAAGGGAGTAGTAATCGTATTATCGACGCAAGCCGAAATCCGAAAATGCTTTCACTGCATGGATACTGTTTTTAGTATTAAACTATAACCATCTGGGGTATTTCCAAATGACGACGTCCGATGAGCTCCCTTGTTCTTTTTGTCTGTTTGTTTAGGCTGAAGAAATGAATTAACATGCGCCCTTTGTCGAAATCTTTATAGATCACAGTTAACCAATCAGTGTTCAAAAATGCGTAAAACAAATATTGCCTCCAGCCTCCAAGTTTATTTAGCTGTCCTTGCAGACGGTACCCCAGTCTCTGGTCACGCTCAGTTGCGTTGCGTATCATCCGGGTACTCACAGGGGAAAAACAATAACAAAGGCAACAACCAGTCCGTTAGATCAGTGCCCCTTTAAGTGTGCATCTGACGCTACAGCATGATGGCCATTAAGAATAAAGTACACAAAGTTCTGAATTAAGATGGTTTCAGTTTAAAGTTATACATAATATTTTAAGTACTAACTGTTAATTATTTAAAATTGGATATGTTGAATCACCTGTTTGCTCATTATGTAATGAGGTGAGGTGAAATGGGGTTCGGGATCGAACCCCGGACTTTCCGCTCCCCGGGCGGATGCTCTACCATTAGACTACGGAAACAGTCCCATTATGTAATGAACCATCTGAAACAATTTCTCATGTATTATGTAATTGTCACTCTGCTGCTGATATATGGACGAAACTTTCAGATTGGCTTGGAAACTATACAGTAGGCAGATTTTGTTTTAGTAATGAACACATACTGTTTGGATTTAAAGAGAAGAATAACTATTCACTCAATGCAGTAATTATGGTAACAAAATCTATGCTGTACACATTTAATGGAAAAAAAGTCAAACCAATCTGTTTACTAATTCATAAAGAAATACTTCGATATTATGAAATTACAAAATATATTGCATATTCAAATTGTAATTACCGTATTCCACGTAATAAGCGCCCAGGGCGCTCTCAAAATTAGAATTAGGGAGCTCTTATTAGAATATTATTTTGGTGAAAAAACAGAGTTGAAAGATAAATTTCGTGGTTTATGCTGACAGCCTGAAATGTTTATGTATGACAAATATATGTTTTCAGAATTTAATTGCCAATAATTAAGGGTGCATATAACACACGAGTGCGTATTATACGTGAATAGGGGAAGAAAGCGGTGCGTATTATATGCGAATAGGGGTCGGAAGGGGTGCTAATTGGGATTGTTCACTAGCCAATATATGAGCAAATCTCGCCGTGGGCCCTTATTAGAGCGGGCACTTATTACGTCGAATACGGTATGCAAGTTTCCATGCCTTCTGGTCTTCTCCACATGTACTGTTTAGAAACTCTGAAAACAGTGATATCAGATCTGTCCATGCTACAAACATGCCAATAATGTCAAAATAAATCCATGCACACTCTATGTATGATATTAAATGTAAAATATGATGGAAAATGGAATAAATAATAAAAAAAAAAAATTGAGTATAAAGTGATGATGATTGTCAGTTGTTGATTGTTGTTTGTTCTTCACAGGTGCCCAGCAGGTGTACTGCCCATCTGACCAGGGCAAGATTGTGATGGAGAATGACAACAAGTACAAGAAACAGCTTCAGAAGGAGTACCCCCACTCTCCACGGTGCTGGTTCCCTGAGCCTGACACAGAGGTCAAGGTCACACAGGATCCTGACAAGACCAAGGTCAAAAAAGGTCTCCGACGATGGAAGGAGCTCCCAGAGCCTGTGGATGTGAGCGTTTATGCTTTCAGATTGTTTCTTGACCATTTTTTATCTAACTGCATTTAAGTGACACTTTGGACAATTTCATAATATAGCAAGAGTAACAGCTGGAGCTATCCTTCAAATGAACTAACTGAAGTTTGTTCGAATTAATAAATTTTAGTTTAGTGATGCCAACCCCATTGAAAATGTTCACTTTTGACACAGAGGTCAAGGTCAAGGTCAAGGTCAGCTGTGAGTGATAACCATGCATTTCATTGATTTGTATACAGTAGACTTCAAGTATTCACTGAGTTTTTCATGCTGTTTTTCCCAGGACACAGCCGAGGTCCTGAACATTGTTCCCCCAGGCTATGACCCCGAGTTCCACCGATCTCCCGACCCCACCACAAGGAAAATCACCAAACTGAATGCTTCCCTCATGCAGATCAGTAAGTCCTGATGGGGTTTCAGCCAATCAGACCTCAGCTTTTCAAAAATGACAGTCTTCATTTTTTTACCATCTCGACTCCCATTTCGAGAGCACACTCATCCTGTGACTGGGTAATAATGGTATAGCTCTTTTAGCAGACACTAATGTTTCGATTATATAACATCAATAATATACTCATTATTATTACAATCATTTCAAATACTGTTTCAGTATTCAGTAATAATCAGGCTGTCCATGTTATCTTTAATGATAAACACCAAGTACTGAATTTCAATCTGAAATCTGAGTTTCTTTTGTCCAGTTGGAGAGTGGCGGTCAAAGTGGCACCTAAGTGGTCAGTTTGCGGACAGCAGTCCGATGGACCTGATCCGGGACATGGCGGACATTCAGCCCCACGTGAGACTGAAGGCTGTGTCCACGGTGGGGAAAGCGGCCGAGTATAAGCCCCCAGAAGAGGCGGGCATTCAACTTGAGTACCAGGACAGGCAGACAGTGACATCCAGCCACCTGCCGGACGAGGTCTTCATCGCACTCAACTACCTCCTGGACGACGAGCATGACCGTGTACAGAAGGCAGCCGCCATTACACTCTACTCTTTGAATCATCCCTCGGAGAAGGTGGGTTGGGGAGACAATGGCGGTATTTGTTGGGATCTGAACTTAAATTATGAAGCTATACTGAAGTCATCCCATTGTTTTTATGTGGCCTTGATTTTGTGGATAAAGGTACTGGGTAGTCAAGATCATTGAAATCCCGGGGGTTCCGTTAACGCTTCAGTTAAGTTAGAAAGTTGAGCTCATTCTCCCAGAATGCCCTGAGCATGGATACTTGCAACTGATTTTGTGGGATTTCCACTATTTGAAGAAACCTTAAGAACAATAGGATGACACCACTATCGGTTAATAAGTTACCCGGTAATTAAAACACTCATTAGTTTCCAATGAAAATGTAAAACCTGGGGTATGGTAAAAAGCCCTCTGGCTTTTCCCTCCCTCAATACTTACATTTTAAAACCAAAACCCTTGAGTCATGTTTTGACCTACACTTAATCCCTTTTTGCAAGGGGTTGAGTGGAAAAGGTAATAATTATTGTCAAATTTGCCACAAAGAGCTTGAAAACTGTGCTGCAGTTTTGTGTTACTGTTCAGTATTATACACTTGCAGTTCCAGCTCCAGAAGCTTTTAATTTGTATTCAAATATTTAGAGAAAATAACAATCACTGATTTTTATGATAAATATTTAGACTTTGTATGTCTGATGAATATAGTAAGGAATTGCTTTTTAGTGTGTGTTTCTCACCTGAATGACATTCGTGTGCATCATGTTTTTGCCTACCATAAAAAAACAAATTTTTCAAATAGAAATTTTTATCCCTTAGTCAGCTCATGCGTATGCTTCACCATGTAAACCCAAATGGCATATAACCAGGTAAGGTCATCATTATGATACTGGGGAGCATAGAAGTCCGGTTGTCTGTGTGTCCTTAGCAGTGTCCACACTGGTGGTCAAGGATTTGACTGATTTAGACATGTGATGTTTGGCCACCAGGCTGAGGCCATCCTGCGGGACACTCTACAGGGGGAGAATGGTGTTGACCGCTGGGCAGCTGCTCAGTGTCTGGCCCACTTTGGTGTGTGTGACTCGGACGTGGTAGGGGAGATAATCAAGCAGCTCCTGGACACCGAGGACTCCATCAAACACGAACGGGCCATCATGCTCCTGTCCAAGATCAGCTACAACTCGGTGAGATTTGATAACTGTAAAACATGTCCCAATGCGCTCACAGCTTTTTATCAATCTCAGGCCAGACCATTTTTATCCCCCGCCAACTTTGTTATAGAAACGGGCTCCGTCCGTCTGTCCATCCTTACGTCCGTCTGTCACGTTTCGTTTCCAGGGGATAACTCAGAAACCGTTCAATATTTTTTCATGAAACTTTGGAGGTCTGTCAGGTACATGCTGAACTGGTGCCTTTTGCTATTCAGAAATTTTTGAATTTTTTATTTTTAACATTTCCATGGCAACAAGATGGACTTAGGTTCCAAAATCTTGTTTGGTTTGTGAAGTGAATTGCTCTATATTTTGCAACAATGAATAAAACGAAACATTTCACGTTTAGTTTAAGAGGATTGTATCAGGAAATTTACTTCAGTTCATTCGGAGTCCTGTATCTTAATATCTAATTCATTACAGTGAGACACCCATGCTTGCAGTAAAAGGCGACTATTCTTGTCGTAAGAGGCGGCTAACGGGATTGGGTGGTCAGAGTTGCTGACTTGGTTGATGCATTTCATCATATCCCAATTGCGTAGATTGATGCTCATTTTGTCAATCAGTGGATTGTCTGGCCCAGACTTGATTATTTACAGACCGCTGTCATATAGCTGAAATATTGCTGAGTGTGGTGTGAAACAACAAACAAACAAACAAACAAACAAACAAATCATAGCAGTGTATTTTACTGTTACCGTTTACAAATTTGTTTCTCTGAAAATTTTGAGTTACAGTGTTTAACTGTTTGTTTGATGACATTGAGCTGTGGTTGGGTTGTCATGACAACTGGTTGTGATGTTGTCAGACTCTGGTTCACTCCCTGGTGGCCGAACAGCTCAACAGCACCAGCTGGAGACACAAGGTGATCGCCTGCAAGATCCTCCCCACGCTTCACGGAACCATCAACAGGGTAAGGGTGAGTGAGTGAGTGAGTTGGGTTTTACGCCGCTTTTAAGAGTATTCCAGTTATATCGCGGCGTGTCAGCTTAATGTGGGAGGAAAGCCCGAAGTGATGCAGGTCCCGGACATTTACCACTTCGGTGAAACCGACAAGCACGGGTGTGGTGCTGACAAACCTAGAAACATAATCAGGGCGAAACCGGGATTCGAACCCACAATCATAGGTTTCTGGCGTGCCCAAGGGACGCAACTCTGCACAGGGAATCGCGGCGCCTTAGACGACTGGGCCACCCGTGCCCCCCAACAGGGTAAGGAGTGTCATGATGCAACCAACAGTACTTCATAAGTGGGAGTAAAACACACAGGGACTCTGTCAGCTAAATCTAACATTTGAAACCTTATACTGTGCATTTGGTTACAAATTCAACTTAGCGTTATTAAATCTACATGCAACTAAGCTCTACACTGACAAATATGTCCAACACACATACAAATTGAGACTGGACACACATAATCTACATTGCAAGTCCTGGAGGACTAAACAATGTATGTTGTTTTCACTTATAAAATTTAAATGTAATAGGAGACTAACAAAATAGAGACAATTTATGGATAACAACTTCTTTATTTTACGATGGCAACATTTCGGTATAGATTTTTATACCGTTGTCAAGCAAGACTGACAATTTTGCTTGACAACGGTATAAATCTATACTGAAATGTTGCATTTACCGTAAATAAAGAAGTTATAATCCACAAATTGTCTCTGCTTTGTCAACTGTCAACTTCTAAGTTATGCCTATCAAACAGCTCGGTAGTAGACTGCATGTTACATATCAACATTTTTATTCTGTTAATATAACACCCTGGGTGCCAGTGGTTGATTTGTGTAAATCTGACACTGAAATCCTCATCTTTAAAAGGCTTATAATGCTTCTTAGTATGTGTAATGAGATGACAGGAACTAAGGCTGGGGCGGGTAACTCGGGTACTCGGGTCGGATGGGTCCTGAGTAGGACCCGGATACCCACAGGACTACCCGGACCCGTGGTTAGTCACATGATGTATTGTTTAATGACAAAAATTATCTAAAACTCTATGGTTACACTATAAGTCACTAATGTTCCCATTTCTTTCTGACAATGCACCCGTTCCTTCTGACTTTTATATGTTTGAATAAAGATAAAACTTCAGGCAGTAAACTTCAGTGTATGCATGACCAGATCGTTTTACACGTGTATCTAAATACATTTTGCCAGGGCTAAGGTCAAACATTTCCAAATCGGATAGTTTGTACCTATCTCTAAATATCTACAGCGGGTACCTGTGTAGGGTCGGGTAATAGGGTGGTGGGTACCCGGGTAGTAAATTTGGACTCGTCCCAGCCCTAACAGGAACATTCTTGGAAATCATGCAAGTAAAGCATTCCACATACCACTTTGGATCTCCAGAGGTTATTTCCAGAAAGTACCCTGGATTTTAAAAACAGACAGACCCAGATACATTCCTGTACTTCTACTATGTGAACACAAACATGCATGTATTGATAATGCGGCTCTGTCGATAGGGATCTGACTTGTGCTGTGAGTATCGGTACAAGAACACTGCTCTAGTTGAATGGCTTGAATACCCAACAAAGGGAGATAACTCCCCATTGCTCTCTCACTTGTCTCTGGCAAGGAAGGGAAACGGTACAGCATCTTGAGTCATTTTGACTTAGATGATACCAAGAAAAAAGACAAAATGTCAATTGTTAGGAATATTATTTGATTCCGGACAGGGTTTTGAGACACAAGTTTTCAAGTATTTTTTACAACCAGTCAGAGACCAAGCTCTGATGAGATCTAATTAAACCTATGCACGTTACCATGGAAACGAGATGAAGTAATGTAAATAAATTGAGCTATCTCCTTCCAGGACATCACCAACAAGCTGTCGGAGCTGATGTGGAGTGACTGGCACAATGACGTGCGGAAGGCAGCAGCTCATTGTCTCGGGAAAACCCAACATGGCCGGGACGTCCACGATGATCTGAAAGACCGGATTGGCTCCACTAATGAACGAGTCCGTCTTGAGGCTGTCAGTAGGATTGGACAACTGGGTGAGGTTTGCGTTGCCCTGTAGAGTTTCTGCCTGAGTTGAGATGATATTGAATCCATGCTTCTTTGGTAATGTATTGTATTAGTGATGGTGCGCAGTGGAATATTATAAGGGTAACGCTATTTTTCAGAGCATTATCATTTGTAGAAGCCCGAGTTCCATTAACTGCCCAACGAAGGAAGGCAGTTGAAAAGACTGAGGGCTTCTGCAAATGATAATGCCCTGAAAAAGAGCGTTACCGTTATTATAGCTAAAATGGATCGATGGAATTTGTTATCAAATAAAAAGAAACAACAACATTGGTTTTGAAACATTTACTGCAATCAACACAAATGTCACTGACCACATTTTACAAATATGGAAACGTCATAGAACATACTAGATGACGTCACTATAATACGTGACGTCATTTTCTCTACCCTATGACGTCACCTAACAACGGGCTTGATAATGGCCCGTCGTCAAGCAATATGAGGGCATTATCAAGTTACAGTGGCCCGCTCATTTCTGATAACGTGCGGGCGGTTTAATGATAATTCTATCCATTTTAGCTATAATAACTATTAACAAAAATGCAAATTCCCTCAATGTTGTATGCGGGGAACTAAACAGGACTATCTTGATATGATGAAATAATTCAGATAATAAATTTGGAGAACTAAACGTGAATCTCTTCTTAAAAACAGATGAAGAAATGTAAATGTGACAAAATTAACTAAGTATGATTCTCAAATCTATAGCTATCAACCTATCAGTCCAGCCCTATTTTGGCTAGCATTGTTGCATCCTATTGCGACATTCAATCGTAACTAACACGTTCTACTACGTCCTACCTTGACAAGCTATAGAGCAAAACTGTTCAATGTACGTCCTATCGCGACGACATCTCAAATCAAACTGACGAATATGCGTCCTATCGAGCCGAACTATCAAACCAAAGTGACGAATGTACGTCCTATTGCGACGACATCTCAAAACCAAGTGAACTTAACTCAAGTAAGTCCGATTTTCCTCGTTTTGCACGTGCTCGGAAAGCCCGTGCCATGTCATTTTCCATTTTCTTCCGCAAAGAAAGATACGTTCCAGCTATCTGTTCAAGCTTAACATGTCTTCTAACCAAGTGATGTTGAAGCTATATAAGACACACAACTACAGACTTTTATGTAGCATTTAGAGATGTGAAGAAAACATACTCATGCTCTGCTACGTGAAAATTCTGCCATAAAGTCAAACTTCTGGAATGTTTAGTTTTGGGGACATCAGTAATGTTAGGCAGTGCACTCCTGTCGTTCTAGCTTTGTTACTGAAATTATTTTGGACATGCTTCAAGTTGCAAGTGTTTTTAAAGAAATGAAAAGAATGTCGCAAAATGGGCAACTTCATATCGTATGATTGCAAAGTTACGACCTACTTACAACATATTTGTGACATCCCTCTCCTTGAACGCTCTATACCTACTTACCTACCCACCCACCTACCTACCTACCCACCCACCTACCCACCTACCTACCTACCTACCCACCTACCTACCTACCTACCTACCCACCCACCTACCTACCTACCTACCTACCTACCCACCCACCCACCTACCCACCTACCTACCTACCTACCCACCCACCTACCCACCTACCTACCTACCCACCCACCTACCTACCTACCTACCTACCTACCTATTTCACGAATGTTTTATGACATTTTCAGGGATAATGACAGCCAAACTCCTGCCAGTGTTTCTCAAGTGTTTTGATGACCCCTACGTGTCGATCCGTGTAGAGACGTGTATCACAAGCGGAAACCTGGAAATTACGGACTACCGCGTCCTGGAGAAGTTGGTGTACCTTGCCACCTATGACCCCATCTGGAAGGTCAAGGCCCTTGCCATTCAAGGTCAGTGTCACCATAATTCTCCAGTAGAACTGTTTTTCAGTAAACAGTTTGTCTCAGTGAACAGTTTGTGTCAGTAAACAGTTTGTCTCAGTGAACAGTTTGTCTCAGTGAACAGTTTGTCTCAGTAAACACTTTGTGTCAGTAAACATTTTGTGAACAGTTTGTCTCAGTATACAGTTTGTCCCAATAAACAGTTTGTGAACAGTTTGTCTCAGTATACAGTTTGTCCCAATAAACAGTTTGTGAACAGTTTGTCTCAGTGAACAGTTTGTCTCAATGAATAGTTTGTCTCAGTAAACAGTTTGTCTCAGTGAACAGTTTGTCTCAGTGAACAGTTTGTGTCAGTAAACAGTTTGTCTCAGTAAACAGTTTGTGAACAGTTTGTCTCAGCGAACAATTTGTCTCAGTAAACAGTTTGTGAACAGTTTGTCTCAGTAAACAGTTTGCCTCAGTGAACAGTTTGTCTCAATGAACAGTTTGTCTCAGTGAACAGTTTGTCTCAGTGAACAGTTTGTCTCAGTGAACAGTTTGTCTCAATGAACAGTTTGCCTCAATAAAAAGTTTGTGAACAGTTTGTCTCAGTGAACAGTTTGCCTCAATGAACAGTTTTTCTCAGTGAACAGTTTTTCTCAGTAAACAGTTTGTCTCAGTAAACAGTTTGTCTCAGTGAACAGTTTGTCTCAATGAACAGTTTGTCTCAGTGAACAGTTTGTCTCAGTAAACAGTTTGTGTCAGTGAACAGTTTGTCTCAGTGAACAGTTTGTCTCAGTAAACAGTTTGTCTCAGTGAACAGTTTGTCTCAGTAAACAGTTTGTCTCAGTGAACAGTTTGTGTCAGTAAACAGTTTGTGAACAGTTTGTGTCAGTAAACAGTTTGTCTCAGTGAACAGTTTGTCTCAATGAACAGTTTGTATCAGTGAACAGTTTGTCTCAATGAACAGTTTGTGTCAGTGAACAGTTTGTCTCAGTGAACAGTTTGTCTCAATGAACAGTTTGTCCCAATAAACAGTTTGTGAACAGTTTGTCTCAGTGAACAGTTTGCCTCAATGAACAGTTTGTCTCAGTGAACAGTTTGTCTCAGTAAACAGTTTGTGAACAGTTTGTCTCAGTGATCAGTTTGTCTCAGTGAACAGTTTGTCTCAGTATACAGTTTGTCCCAATAAACAGTTTGTGAACAGTTTGTCTCAATAAACAGTTTGTGAACAGTTTGTCTCAGTGAACAGTTTGTCTCAGTGAACAGTTTGTCTCAATGAACAGTTTGTCTCAGTAAACAGTTTGTCTCAGTGAACAGTTTGTCTCAGTAAACAGTTTGTCTCAGTGAACAGTTTGTCTCAGTAAACAGTTTGTCTCAATGAACAGTTTGTCTCAGTGAACAGTTTGTCTCAATAAACAGTTTGTGAACAGTTTGTCTCAGTGAACAGTTTGTCTCAGTGAACAGTTTGTCTCAATGAACAGTTTGTCTCAGTAAACAGTTTGTCTCAGTGAACAGTTTGTCTCAGTGAACAGTTTGTCTCAATGAAAAGTTTGTCTCAGTAAACAGTTTCTCAGTGAACGGTTTGTCTCAGTAAACAGTTTGTCTCAATGAACAGTTTGTCTCAGTAAACAGTTTGTCTCAGTGAACAGTTTCTGTAAATAATGAAATTATTATCGTTGTGTGTCGGTCAAAAAGAATTTGATTATACATGTTGGATACTAGATTGCAGTTATGATGTTGGTATATATTTCAATAATGCATGTGAAACCCGTACTGTAAAGAAATGATACTATGATTAAAAACTTGCTAGCTTTCATGCAAAGGACAGTTTTTAAGGGAGTGTGTCTGTACTAGCCCTGTATTGGTAGGTAGATCTATTGTGCTGTCTGTCCCCACCTGCCCTGGGGTGTATTGGCAGATCTATAGTGTGTCTGTCCCCACCAGCCCTGGGGTGTATTGGCAGATCTATAGTGTGTCTGTTCCCACAAGCCCTGGGGTGTATTGGCAGATCTATAGTGTGTCTGTCCCCACCAGCCCTGGGGTGTATTGGCAGATCTATAGTGTGTCTCTCCCCACCAGCCCTGGGGTGTATTGGCAGATCTATAGTGTGTCTGTCCCCACCAGCCCTGGGGTGTATTGGAAGATCTGTAATGTGTCTGTTCCCACAAGCCATGGGGTGTATTGGCAGATCTATAGTGTGTCTGTCCCCACCAGCCCTGGGGTGTATTGGCAGATCTATAGTGTGTCTCTCCCCACCAGCCCTGGGGTGTATTGGCAGATCTATAGTGTGTCTGCCCCACCAGCCCTGGGGTGTATTGGCAGATCTGTAATGTGTCTGTTCCCACCAACCCTGGGGTGTATTGGCAGATCTATAGTGTGTCTGTCCCCACCAGCCCTGGGGTGTATTGGCAGATCTATAGTGTGTCTGTCCCCACCAGCCCTTGGGTGTATTGGCAGATCTATAGTGTGTCTGTCCCCACCAGCCCTGGGGTGTATTGGCAGATCTATAGTGTGTCTCTCCCCACCAGCCCTGGGGTGTATTGGCAGATCTATAGTGTCTCTCTCCCCACTAGCCCTGGGGTGTATTGGCAGGATCAACGAGGACATCAAGGAGTGTCTGATGTGGTCGTTGCGGTACGAGGAGCAGGAAGGGGTGAGGGCGGAGGCGTGTCACTCGCTGGTTACCCTGGGTCAGAGGGATGAGGAGTTTGTGGAGGTGTTGCAGGACAGACTGCTGGTGGAGACGTCGCAGATTGTCAGAGAGTAAGACCCTGCCTTTTTCTCATATATTTGTATTTATCATTTGTTGTCGATTTTGAATCAGTCTCTTAACCATAAAAATGAAAAAAACCAACAGGTTCCATGATGTTGAATTTTATCTAAAACATACATAAGCGCCCAGGACACTCTAAAAATTAGATAAAGGGAGCTCTTATTAGAATAAAACTTTGGTGAAAAAAACCAGAGTTGAAAGATCGTAAATTTCGTGGTTTATGCTGACGGCCTGAAATGATACAAAGGAAAAGTCTCTGTTTATTATAAACTACAGATATATTTTCCAGAATTGAATTGCCCATAATTAAGGGTGCATATAACACACAAGTGCATATTACTCACAAATAGATAAGTCTTGTGTACATTGATCAATCGGAAGGGTGCTAATTGGGGTTATTTACAAGCCTATATATTAGGAAATATCGCCGTTGGCGCTTATTAGAGTGGGGCGCTTATTATGTCGAATACGGTAATTTTAAATTAGTAATGCTGTATGCATACTAAAGCAACATATAAATATTCAGTAATTGATAACGGACATCTCTAATTGTTGCAAAGGATATGTCCAGCTGACAGTGTTATATCTATACTCAACAGAAATTATTTTTCTATATGTCAGTTGTGTCAGTTCTGTAAAACAACAATGATGTTTGACATTGACATATACTCCTTTCACAAATGACACACATGAAAAGAAGTATCTCTTGGCATGGTTGTCTCTCCATATATATGTGTATCCATCCATATAGATGTATTGTATTTGAATGAATATTTATGAGTGACTGCACAACTTGTGTACTCTACATTGTAATGTGGAGCCTGTCATATGTCAACAAAGTGAGCTTATGTCAATAAAATGATTGTAGGTTAAAGTTCAAGATCACAGTTGTCTTAAGTTTGGCCACCAAATTTTCCTCAATGTATAAATGTGATGTTTTGTCTGCTTCAATGAAAAGTGCACGGGTTTATCCAGACTTGCTCAGAGGCTGATATTCGACCCCATGCCGCACTCAGCAATATTCCAGCTATATGACGGTGGTCTGTAAATAATCGAGTCCGTACCAGACAATCCAGTGATTGATATCATGAGCATCAATCCACACAACTGGGATCGATGACATGCATCAACCAAGTCAGCGAGCCTGACCACCCAATCCCGTTAGTCGCCTTGTATTTCACTGACCAATTTGTGCAAAATACTGAATTCTTTCTAAATTGCCTGCTATGGTCACTAATCCTTTATAAATTACCACCTCACACACACACACACACACACACAACCCACCCCTTCTTCTGCATCTGCATATGCCAATTCTTGACCTTGACCTTGCAGCGAGATCGTTGAGGCGCTGCGTCGTATGGGGGTCAGCACTACGGAGGACATGGACATGGTCACACAGATCAAGGGAGAGGTCCGCAAACTGTGCAACCGTGACGTCATCGCCTCCCACATCATGGTCAACGAGATGGATGACAACCGCAAGGAGAACCTCAAACGCATGATCTACGAGACAGACAAGGAACTTGAGGTATGCATTCATGCAAGTTCTGGGGCTTCAGTTTAGAGTAGGACCCAGCACCAGAGCCATTCATGAGCTGATTGAAATATGCCAAGGGTTGTCACAATGTCACATATGACCTGGGCCAACTTGCAGTAAGCGATCTTAGTGTTACGATGATTCTAACTCCAATACTTCAACATGGACTTATGATAGTCGTAGTGCTAAGATCTCTTTGTGCATGTGGGCCCTGGCTCATGTCATCGTACACTGAAGGCGTTAATCATTGCTCATGCAGCGTAAAACTACACTATCATATTTTTTCACTCTGTTACGACTCACTGTTATTATGACATCTCTGTTAATACTCTAACACCTTTCCTTCTCATAACTCACAACAGAGCTTTCACCTAACATGTAACTTCAACATTCTCAGCCTTCAAAGTTCATGCCAAAACTACATTTGCTTAGGAAAAGCATCTTCCTGAGGCAAGGGAATTAACTGACTAAAAGTCCAGTTTCCACCCTTGCTGAACTAGGCTGGGATTCCGGGGGTTACATTTTGGCTGGACTAACAAGTCTATGTATAGTCCTATTAAATTCGCGTAACACACAAGACATCCAGTTTGTAAACAACATGGAGTTCAACGTGGCGTTGACAGATATTTTAAAAATCGTTTTATGTTTTTAATCAAGTGATTTGATGCACTTTGTGAGGTAAGGCCAGTTTTATTACAATAAAAAAATTTATTATCGTTCAGATCATCTTGACCGGACGCTGCCATTTTGTTTGAAGCAAATCCAAGTGATATGAGAGGTGGAATCTGATTGGTCAATAGTGGGGACATAACTAGTCATAGCCACTGGTGCCGCTATGGTCGAGCCTCGTAACTGGACTTTTATAGTCAGTTAAAGCCCTTGCCTTGGGAAATTGGAGGACAAGTAAAAAAGCCAAAAGATGGTAGTCCTCATTGACTGGTAGCATTTGGGGCCAATATTTCTGAACCAGTTCTTGATGATTCATTTTTACTACAATTGAAATAAATAAAACTGACAGAAAATGTAAACCTTGTAAACATTTTTGTCTTGTTGAAGCAGGACTATCTACAGACTCTGAAGACCAGTGAAATAATGTTAACACTGGACTAGTCTGAACATTCTAGTCTGAACTAGTCATGAATTTCTATGGCTGTATTTTATATCTGATCATGTATGCAGTCTCATCCTAAAGGTTCACCTCCATGTCTCCACTAGTACCACACCAGAAATGGGCTTCAAAAATTGTACCCATGTCGGGAATCGAACCCAGGTCTTCGGCGTGACGAACGAATGCTTTAACCACTAGGCTACCCGACTGCCCCCATTTATTTTAAGGGTGTGTAGGGTGTGGGTGTGGGTGTGGGTGTGGGTGTGGGTGTGTGTGTGTCGGGGGGGGGGGGGGGGGGGGTGTGGGTGTGGGTGTAGGGTGTGGGTGTGGGTGCGGGTGCGGGTGTGGGTGTGGGTGTGGGGTGTGTGTGTGTGTGGGGGGGGGTGTGGGTGTAGGGTGTGGGTGTGGGTGTGGGTGTAGGGTGTGGGTGTGGGTGTGGGTGTAGGGTGTGGGTGTGGGTGTGGGTGTGGGTGTGGGTGTAGGGTGTGGGTGTGGGTGTAGGATGTGGGTGTGGGTGTGGGGTGTGGGTGTGGGTGCGGGTGTGGGTGTGGGTGTGGGTGTGGGTGTGGGTGTGGGTGTGTGTGGGTGTGGGTGTGGGTGTAGGGTGTGGGTGTGGGTGTGGGTGTAGGGTGTGGGTGTAGGGTGTGGGTGTGGGTGTGGGGTGAGATTCATGCTAGGACTGTATCATATTTTACTACACCATTTTTTTCCCATGCCCCCCACCCCAATAACATTTGTTCAGGACCACCCCCCTCCCTACAATAAATGACCAGTCCCAAAATTAGAAGTTCCTAAGTTTACCAATATAAGACTTGACTGGGTCAGGAGTCTGGAGATGCTATCTTTTATAGTGTAGATTCTGTCTTGTTTACAGCCTGCTTCCATCTCATGTCTAACAAGTCTCTTCATCTTTTACCCTTTTCTCTCTGTCTTCATCCCTCTGCTTCCTCCTGTGTGTTGCCTCCAGCGCTACTTCAAACATAGCAACTTCTTCCTCAACCTCATCAGTAGGTCTGACTTTGACAGCAGGCTTCAGATCATGCGCAGTTCCGCAACTAAAGAGAGGCTTCATAAGGTAGAGAGGTCAAGGACGTTACAGTCAAGCTTTATGCTCATCATTGAATTCATCATCACAATGATATGGTAGCAGTATCAATTATCATGGAAAGAATGCTTTATTATGTATCTTTTATTTATACCATATATATATATATGTGTATATTCCCGTGTTATGGGTTTTCGGGTGCCTAAAAACTATCATGGTTTTCTCTCTAATGACATGAACAACCGTAAAACATCTCATTCACTTATAAAAGACGACTTTCTCTAAAAACAAGCTACACCCCTGTTATGGCAGGAGTAATCGTGATAAACTTGGCCATCCAAAAACTTATGATGTCCGAAAATATATGATCCGATGATATATATATATACACACAAGGCCTAACTCTTAAAGGATTTTTTTAAATACCATATTTTTTTGAGTATAGTGCGCACCCATGTATAACGCGCACCCCCCTCTAGCGGATTCAGTATTTTGGAGAAAAAAAATTCAAATGTCAAGTGCAGAAAAAAAATACACCATAGATCTACCCCTTCAGCGAATTCCGGTACACGAACGGGTGATGAGAAACTTGGTCAGTACAAATTTGAAATTTGAGATAAAAAATCACCAGACATGTTTATTTACCGTTTAAATTGTATTTTTTGTTCTGCTAGGCATTGTTTTACATCCAGGGATTAAGATTACCTTGTGTATTTTCTCGTAAACTAAGCCGGAAACAGCAATTTCTTGGAATCTACCGGTGATTCGGTCAAGACACACCCAAAGATATAGCTTTACAGGATTTTAATGCAAGGATCGGCAAAAACTGTATCTGAAACTTTTTATTTTATAAGGAATAATATATCCCAATATCTTGTTAATTTAATTGCAGCTTTCAGTAAACATATTTTAAATAACAATACCCCAAAAGGATTTTTTTAAATACCGGGTAGAAATTAGGATGTATTGGTGTGGAAAGTGTTTGATGGGCTATGTCTATGAAATCTATCTCCCTGTGAAATGGGAATACAATAATAATAAAATATCACATGTAATATTAACAATAATAATTCTATTTACCCATTCCAAATATGCAAGGGCCTGTAACAGTTAATCAAAATACCAAGTCCTGAAATCTTATATTATCGGTTTATGATATTTCCTGAGAGTCATGATGATTTGAAATCCTTTTACACCAGCTAACTGAATCTTCCCATGTCATGTCCAGGAGCACCAAGCTAAGAAGGAGAGGGCTCTCAAGCGAATCCAATGCTTGAGCCGATGGAGCACGCAGCAACCTACCACGACTGGATCGAGAACATCCTCGGCTGCTGTTAGTCGAGAAGGAACGATGTTCACCCCCTCAGCAGATAAAGAACTGGAGGCTCTAATGTCCCCAGAAGATACAAAGGAGGATCTAAGTGATGAAGCAGCCAGGACCATTGAATCGGTCACCACCAAGTCCAGAGTGGACACGGTCACAGCCACCTCCGTCTCCCGACCTGGCACATCCGGGACTCAGACGGACAGTCAAATTTCCGAGGTGGGAGAGGAGAGTGACCAAAGCAGACTGGTCAAGTCCAGGACAGAGGACAGCGATGGGGAGTATCTTAGTGGTGGGACTCCAGGCAGTGCCCAGGTGGATGGTCTTTTGAGTAAGAGAGATCATGTGGAGAGTGTATCAGATCATGATGGTCCTGGATCCGCTGGTTTGAATGTTGCTGTTAATTTGGCACTTTCTTCTGTTGATATCCGAGCATCTCGACTCAGTTTTATTGGTCCTTCCACCGAGAGGAAAGCTCAGCTGTCAAGCAGAGACGCTACCAACGAAAGGCAGAAGGTCACTGCGGGAGCTTTGAGTACATATAAGGGTTTGGAGTCAAGGTATACTTGTTATGATGTAGATCTGACGGCCATTGATAGTGGATTGAATACAGCAATGGTGAATGAGAAAGAATCTGAACGATCACAGAGCCAGCAATATGGAAAGGTCATAGCATCAATTGTGATTTCATCCTCAGACAGTGAACCAGCAATCACGGAAGTATGTGCAGGGGAACAGGAGGTAAAGGATGGGGCTCCCACTGCTGTTAAGGACAAGGAGCTTGACTCTGTAGATGCTGCAGTGGTTATAGTGGTGTCAGGGGCCTCCAGGACAGATCTAGATCCTGGAACTAAAGATAAAGTTGCTGGATCATCAGAAGTAGATTCAGATCGCGTTGTTCGCATAGAGGTGACAGGGCCAGATGAGGGACAAGCTGTTGTGGGAGAGGTGAGAGCAGGGGACACATCAGCTGCTGATGCAGAACCAATTGGTCAGGATGCTACTGGTGATGATTCTGAGCATATTGAAGTTTCTCTTCCAGATGGATCTCCAACAGAAGGTTCTCAAGGAGCAGGACATCTTGTGACAGGTTCTCCAACAGATGCATCAGTGGAGATTGTGATCACTTCCTCTTCCCCTCACGATCAGACTGCTGAATAATAGACTCGTTGTTCACACTGTAGTAGTGCTGTGATGCTAACCTCTACCCCTTCTGCTGTTAGGTGGCTGATAACTGATTGTGTTTTCTTGTGTAAATATTTGAAAGCAAATATTTAAGAAATTTTATTTTTAGAATATCTTATTGTACCAACACTGTGTCAATGAATGTTCCTTAACACGGGTCATGAAACGCCAGTGAATTTGTGAAATAATTCAACTTTGTATTTTATGAAGAAATAGGTCGAAAGATTTATCCATTTTGCATTAGGTAACAGCATTAAAATATTATATATGTATTTTCTGTAAATACAGATGAGAATATATAGATTGTTTTCTGAGTATTATGTTTGCAAAGTAAATAACTTATGCTTGTTGCTCCTTTTTGTCAATATATTTAAAGAGAAGCCTTCTGCCAAAAGAAATTTGATTCTGCTTTAGAATACAGTTAAGCATACTGTATCATCTTCCAGTGATGTGCCCCGAGCCCTCCTCCCTTAGTGTACAGCTGTGTATTACAATAAATTTTTTACCCTGTTGATCTGTGATATTATAAATGTTGTCGTTTTTGTGAATATAGCAGTATTGAACTATTGTTGGTCTCATGTTATAAATCACCTTTATTCTATCTGGACAATATCTGTTCCAACATGAACTTGGAAATTACGTGATTCTGATTGGTCAATCAGAGGTATCAAATCACAATAATCACCTCTGATTGAAACAGCTGATTTGATGACCTCATCACTGTGGATCCTAATACTTTTTGAAAAGTGCTTCTTTCTCATTGTTGGTAGCGGTAGGTATATTTAGATAATTATCTGTGCAACTATGGTTATGAAAGGCAGGGTTCTGTTAACTACAATATTTGATGGATGTGTGGCAAATTGTGGGCAGAAAACACAATTCAAAACACATCTGTGACGTCATGCTATGGTTTAAATGCTCCATTATTTTTCAGGAATGGAGAGTTGTTTGTCAAATTATACATTATTTTGAACAAACATTATAAAATAATTCACACATGGAAAAGACGGAACTATTTTTTCATATAATAACAAGTGATTGATATTTGTTGGAAAAGATGTGACGCCAGCAGGATTCAACCCGCATCTTTTGATTTGAGAGCGCCTAATCACTACGGCGTCACACAACGATATGGTGTGAAATTAACTTATAAATATTTTCGAATATTTGTATGATCCTTAAAAGTTAAAACATTAATAATGTATATAATGTTGTGTTACAGTAGATTGACTATAAGATTGCTCATATTAGTCTATATTAAAGCACTCGGATAAACCTTTGACGAGGAATCAGTTAAACATAAAAATCCTTGTTCAGGGCTCTATATTTCCTATAATCCCCGTCAGCATGTATATACAGCTTGCACGTGATCGATAACATAATAGTTTAGGACCCCACGAAATTATGAAGAGACATGTCCCATGTATTGTAAATATCATGCTTGGTGCACGTGCAACAGCGGCAGAGAATGTATTCCTCGTGCATCACGCACAAGGGTTACTTACACACTACGAAAACAGACTACAAAGAGACTGTAAATAATCGAATCTGGGCCAGACAATCAAGTGATTGATATCATGCGCATCGATCCACGCAAATGGGATACGATGACATGCATCAAACCAAGTCAGCGAGCCTGACCACCCGATCCCGTTAGTCGCATTTTACGACAAGCATAACAGTGTTCAAAATTGGGTTATAGCTAAAACGGCACCTCAGCAAAACGTCACCTGGCGAAAACGGCACCGATTGGCGAAAACGTCACCTCGCCTCAGGCGAAAACGGCTACTATTGCCTGGCGAAAACGGCACCCTATTTTTTTTTAACCTTGATAAAATAAATGATATTAAACTAACATGGTCGCTTGCAAACACCAATAATTGTGAAATGTTACAACTAGTTTACATTAGAATTTAGCCTCTACTCCAACTATATTCCAACTTAGCCTATACGCAACTCAAATTATTGTGAAAACATAACATGCCTTGAAGTAAAATAAGGTCATATCTAGATGTTGTCTATAAGAGAGGTTCTTTTAATAAACATGTCGGAGATAATTTGTGAAACATATTTTCCTCTTTCAGGACAGGGGTTCAGGATATTTGCTAAGATTTTATTATCATTTTAGCAGTTTTGTAAGTCTAGTCTTCGAAGAAGTATCTGTCTTTCATTCTGATAATTTGGACAGTACAAAAAGAACTCCTAGAATCTGCTTTGCTATTTTGATAGTGATCTCATTACATAGTTGTTTAGACCAGTTATGATACATTTCATGCGGGGTTCTTAGAAGACTGCAGCCCCATACCTCGGCTCCATATGATGCAATGGGTACAATTAAGACATTATACAAGCGAATGAGAATGTCTGCTGGGAGATGAGAAGTTGATTTCAGTGAACTTTTGATCTTATACCATGCTCGCAAGGCCTTTCCTCTCAGTGTATTGACAGCGGCCATAAAATATATATTGTATATATGTGAATGTATGTAATTATCTGTGAACAACTGGAAATAACATGTAAATACATCAAATAATATGTAACAAATAACATAAATCAGATATACTACTACATTGTACATAAATCGTTCTTATCATTATTAGAAATAGAGGTGCCGTTTCCGCCAAATGCGGTGCCGTTTTCGCCAGAGAAATCGGTGACGTTTTGCTGAGGTGCCGTTTTAGCCTGCACCCTTCAAAATTACACATTATTTGTTCCCAGTTGAACGTCGGTGCACATCCTCAATCTCATCAAAGTTGCGATATCACAATTATTAAATGTCAAGTGAACCAATAACGTAGAACTATTTCTATGAATAATTCATTCCAGGCTAGAATATGACCCCAGCAACCTGACAGTGTTTAGAATACCCTGCCCGACAGTCCGAGAAGGTCTTTTTTAAAAAAATTTTTTTTTTTTTTTTTTTTTTTGGGGGGGGGGATTTTATACACTGATTATGCAACTAAAGGCATCCGGTGGTTAGACCCGGTCCTGCTTGATTGCTTATCATACATCATACCTTGCAGTACATGACGTTGCTCGTAATAACAATCACGGGTTTGTCAGGTCTAGACTTGATTATTTACGTAGTTTGACTGTCAGTGAGTTGAACATTAAACAACAAAGACACACATATAAAATAGGCCAATTAAAAATTATATTGCCGGCAACAACCAATCGGTGCGGAAATCCGTAATATCTTCTTGTGCATTTACATTTGCAATGATAATAGTATCTTCAATATATTCTCCCACAATAGTTTTGAAATCAAGCGAAAGATCTTAATTATACCTAAACAATTCCATTGACACTATGGTACATTTAAAATAAAGTCGTATTTCATCTGACACATCTGGATATTAAGAATATTTGCATGGAAACAACTGGATATACAGCCATTTTGTCAGTTATTAGTTCTCATGTTTTGAAATTGAAGCGTGTTACGAAAAACGAGCTGACTGTTTGAACATGTTGACGAGTCAGTTGCAGTGATTTTATAGCGCTTCGTCAGATGTAGTGTAGGGGAGAGCACTCGTGTAACACTTAGTGTGCACTGATGAAAGAGTTGTATCCCTTAGACCTGTGAAAGCCTTGCAACCCATTCGTCACCACTCGCCCCTTTCCGTAACCTGCAAGAAGACTCGTGCCCCTATCGATGAATGTTATGTGCGAAAATACGACAAACCAATCAGAATGCGCGTATGATTTCAAGTACTTCGTCAAAGAATCCCTCAGAAATAATTTTTGATTTTTCATATGTCTTGCATCTAAAATTATACCCAAGACACAGTTAAATGTGTTCAATCATACTGTATAATTCCGCACGTCCCGATGTGCTTTAAATTGCATCTGAAATATATATAATATTTAGGGAAATATATGTGAACCATTACGCAACGAATTGACAATTGTTTTAGGTATGCCCGTTTGCGCCAAGACGGAACCCGGTCGCAAAAATGGCCACGAATCGCTATTCGGCTTGTCCCGGAATAACACGAGTTGGTCACGAATGCCGTGCAACCTTCAGCTGAGTTCACTTTGCAATTGCACACCACAGTATTATTCACAAGTCGCGAAACCACAGAAACTACTTTCATGTTGCGCTAATGGAATTTCATGCCGGAAATATCAGTTTTTATATCTGCCTTAGCATTAAAACTTTTGTGAGTTGTGAGATTCTTTTTTGTAGGCTTTTAGAAGTTCGGCTCATAAATGGGATATTTATCAATATCATGACAAACTTTGAGATTTATGTAGAATGAGTTTACGCCCGTGTCGTGTGCAAATGATTAGACGGGGGCAGAAATAGAATGTGTCACGTCCATACTTCTTATATTTATATGAAAATGATTCATATGAACCATTAGATTTCACAAACCTCAAACGATCGCGTTTTGCCATTAGCTTCTATAGAGAAAATAGGCATTCACTTCCTACACTCTCTACCATAAAGGGCTTGTGGGGTTAGAGTGTTCGCTCGTCACGACGAAGACCCGGGTTCGATTCCCGACATTGGCACAATGTTTGAAGCCCATTTCTGCTTTCCCCCGCCGTGATATTGATGGAATATTGCTGAAAGCGGTGTAAAACCATCCCCACTCTCTTCACGTCAAATCGAATCGTACGATTTTTTTCAGAATGGGGTTCTACTACCTGGATGAGGATTGTTATAATTTCAGAAAAGAAAAACATAATATGGCGCCAATTTCTCATATTCTGAAACACTGTTAAGTCCTTCGAACTTGTAACATTTCGAGTTTAACCTAAACAAATTCAAAATTGAGAAGCATTCAGTAAATAATATTTATGTGCTACATACCCGTATGGCAGAGGGGGCACGGGTGACCCAGTCGTCTAAGGCGACGCGATTCGCTGTGCAGAGTTGCGTCCCTTGGGCACGCCAGAAACCTATGATTGTGGGTTCGAATCCCGGTTCGCCCCGATTATGTTTCTAGGTTTGTCAGCACCATACCCGTGCCCGTGGGTTTCACCGAAGTGGTAAACGTCTGAGACCTGCATCACTTCGGGCTTTCCTCCCACATTAAGCTGACACGCCGCGATATAACTGGAATACTGTTAAAAGCGGCGTTAAACCCAACTCACTTACTCACTCCGTATGGCAGACCACTGGGAGCCGTACTTCGAGTTGCGTCTTAAGGCCTACCAGAAATTCCGGCACCATTTAACCGTGTTTCACCAAAGTGGCAGACCCGTGAAGGTTCCGGGGTAGAATAGGTCTTCAGCAACCCATACTTGCCGTAAAAGGCGACTATGCTTGTCGTAAAAGGCGACTAACGGGATCGGGTGGTCAGGCTCGCTGACTTGGTTGATACATGTCATCGATCCCAATTGCGTGGATCGATGCTCATGATGTCAATCACTGGATTGTCTGGCCCAGACTCGATTATTTTACAGACCGCCGTCATATAGCTGGAATATTGCTGAGTGCGGCGTTAAACAACAAACTAACCAACCAACCAACCAACCAAAGTGGTAAACCGTTTCAGACGTGAATCACTTCGGCTTTCCTCCCACATCTAACTCACACACCGTGATATATCTTAACTACT